TTAGATTAGGTTAGATTCAACTTTATTGTCATTACACAGGTACAGGTACAAGGCAACGAAATGCAGTTTAGGTCTAACCAGTAGTGCAATAGCAGCAAGTGCATGATAAATAATGGTTCCATAAATACAGGACATGGGTTTCTACTTAAATACCATTTTTTTTTTACCATTACTTAGTAAATGTGTTCAATCTTCCCTTTTACATAAACCACTCTTTCTTTTACACAGGTATCTATGCTTTTACTTAAGTAAAGAGTATGGGTACTTTTGACACCTACATCAGGATCCTGTTTGTTGAATTCAGTTCTCCTTTCAGTACCATCACTGCATGGCTCCTGCACACAAACTCACCCAGCAGAGGGTTTGACTCCACCTGCAGGTGGGTGATAGATTTCCTGACAGACAGGAAGCAGGAAATGAAGCTGGGAGAGTAGTTCTCTGATTTCAAGACCATCAGCATAAATTCCCCTCAATGCACGGTTGCATCCATCCCCTTGTCCTCCCTTCACCACCAGGAATAGGGGGAGGCTGCAATGTATAGTTTGCTTTGCAAGGGGGACTATCAGCTGCATTCTTCCTTTTCTTGAGGAACCGTGTACTTCCAGAACCCAGAAGTGAGCAGACTCCTCCCCTCTGGTTGGAGACTGCGGTCCATGAGGACCAAAACCCAACTAAAAGCTCCTACCATAAAAGCATTATTGTACCTTCTGCAGGGAGTCACATTAACAAGACCTTCAATGACACATTACTGTTGTAAATAATCCAACTATATCAGCATATTTGAATACTTTGAAAATTTCTTTCATGTTGTTGCTATTGTACGTTATTAAAATCTGCCATGGCGCTATGCCTCTGCCATCCACTATGTTTTCTTTAGTTCCTAAAATTCCCCTCCACGTTATACAGTTTGTCTATGTGTAGCACCTTATCTTTAAAGTTAATCCCTTGTCATGTGAAACCCTAATTCTCAATAAAGGCTTATTTATTCTTATTTATAAAACTCTATTTAGCAGGGCTAACACTTATTTTAATAATGGGTAAAGGGTCTAAACACAAACATTACATTTCAGACTTTGAGGGAATAAATCATGTATAATTTTATTTTACTTGAGATCAATGCACCACTCTGTGTTGATGTGACTAGATGAACATATTGAGGTTTGAATCCTAACAGGATTTAAACTTTTAAGGGAGAACCTTTAAAAGGTTCTTGAGAAGAAAAAAAACATTTAAGGTAAGCCTAGTAAACACAGCAAAAACCAAGATTAAGTGTATTTACCCTTAATTTGAGTAGGTAAATAAGATTATTTGCCAAATGAATTAATATTTTTACTCTTACAATAAGATCATTAGATAACATGCACTTGAAATAAGACTTGATAAGAATTGTCTTTCTTATCTTAAAATGCAAATTGTCATGTCTCATTGGCAAAGTGTCTCACCCACCTCCTCAATTCAAGAAAAAATGCACTTATTTTAAGAAGAAATAACTTATTTACATTTACATATTTTCCAGTAAACATTGTACAGCTGAAATAACTTGTACATAGAGTCACATGCACTCAAAGTTCAAATTACTTAGTATTAAAAGTATTAAAAACACAGATTCTCTTTTTTGCTCAGAATTTGCTTGTCTCTTGGTGTTTCATCTTTGAGAGCCAGATATTTTTTTGAATAAAACAGAAAAACACACATTTTAAAAGGACTGTTTGTTTTAAGAGAACATTTGTTCATTTCATTTGTTTTAAAACTTTTATGTGTTTAAACATCTGTCACTGCAAGTGACTCAAACCAAACATTGGTCCTATAATACGAACACTAAGTTGCCTCTGATTGCAATGAAAAGGAACTGCACTCTGACACCAGCTACTTTACGCTTGTCACTTTGACTTCTACTGAAGGAGGCGCTATCATTGCACCACAGGAGGCAGAAGTATGTTTGCCAATCTTCCCAGCTCATACACACGTGCTAACTTGATATCTCTCAGCAATAAAAATACAGCGGGAACATATTTCTTTTTGTGTCAAGCGGCTTAATTAACTATTTTACATGAGAAGCATTTAAAAACAAAAATTGTCTCCAGTATGGCTTAATGCTATCTGGCATTTTGTTTTTGGAACTTTTTTCTGAAAAAACACAGTTTGTGTTAAAAACCTTGTTTTTATATAGTTTGCATTAAAAATACTCTGAATTATTGAAAGTTTAATAAAATTATATAACAAAATATTTCCCACATGTCTAAACCTTATTTAGATTTTTATGTGTTCTCCATAATTTCAAAACAACAGAAAACCATCAAAGCTGGATTTGAAATAAAACACTATATGATAAGCATTTTCTAAAGTTTTCTTGATCATTGTGTTTATTTGATTATTTTCTGACAAAAACATATAATACGCAGTTAATTTTGTTGCATTTAATTTAATAATTGCATATATATATATATATGACATGAATAAAGTTTAGCATTGAAAAAGTAACTGTTTTTATTACCAACAAACTTAAACATCAGAGCATAAAAAAAAAACAAAAAAAAACAGGCCGCTACTTATAAGAAGGCGGGAATTTAAATGTTATTAGTTACTGTGTATACCTCTGATAAAATGGTCGTTTTTCTACCCACCCTTCATTAGAGGCTGATAATATTATTCTGGCTAAGATCCATATCCCTCCAAAAGTAGAGACAAGAACATATTGTATCCTTCATACATTATATTTTTCTTCATCTATTTGTTTTATTAGCCATCAAGTTATCTTTCCTTCATCCATTAAAACCTCTGTTTTTTCCCTTTCTTCAGATAATCTTACATGTGAAGAAGAAAAACAATATATCAGAAAAAGCACACTGTTTAGGATTACCTAAAAACAATTCTTTGTTTTTAGTTACAGTATGTAGACATTAAAGATGATGAAAATAGTACATCATGTACATCTGAAATAATACAGTATCTTACAAATTTCAGCTTATCAGGACACAACTTACCTGTAGCATACAGTATATTTAAGATACAATAAAAAGAAAATTTAACACTGTAGATTTGGGATTTCTATTGCTATTTACCTTGACAACTCAAACTGAGTGGTTAAAGAAAATAAAAAAGTAAATAAATAAAGGACACCTAATCTTTAGCATGTCGGTAAAGATGGAGCAAGTCCCTTTTGTGGTGCTAAGACTGACTCTGTATAGTTGTCATTTGAGATTTATTCATTAGTAATTGTTTTGTAATATCATTAATTTTTGTCTCTTAGAATTTCCCTGATATTAAAAGGCATTTTTGTTAACATAAACATATCCTATGTACAGTGATCTGTGAAGAAATAACAGTTTATAACAAGTTCGGGATACATGGGACATATCTCTGCTTTTTGATCATTTTCAAAGCCTTTATTGAACAAATAATATCAAAATACAACATAGATTTTAAGAAAAATATATAATAAATGTCATGCATTTAAAGACTGGTTAGTGTGTTATTTTTGTAATAGCTTATTTTGAGGTTTTAAACCTTTAAACATAAGTAAATTGCATCCCTGGGAAACAATCTGACAGCTGACAGCTTACATTGAAACAAAACACCTGCCGATATTAAAAAAACCTTATAACAAAAATACAGATTTATGAAGCAGGGATGTCATGGGATTATTTTAAAAAATGCTTTTGTGTGAACATGCAACTATTTTCCCAAAGTTTTTCAGAATATGCAAGTTAGAGAAAGCACACTCCTTATCTTTTTAGATAGTGTGCCCGCTGTAACAGTGTGACTGCTTCTTTATAGTTCTCATCAGGGTTTTTGGATTATTATGTGATTATTTATATATTCTGTTAATTTATTTTTATTTTATTTTATTCATTACCCTGTCACACAAACCCATGTTTCTAATCGCTTGAAATGTTAGTATTTGTTGTATTTTTACCATGACATATCCTTAGTAGCCAACTGTGTTTCTCTGACCATATATTACAGCATTTATTAAGAAAATAAAAATAGAATAAATCTTATATTTAATGCCAGTCCCTAAAAAATATCACCAACATTAAGATCATGTACTTGTATACTTTTTTACATGTTGCTTTAGAGGTTATATCCACTACAAATTGTCCAAAATGAACATCTGAAATGACAGCTGACAACTGCAACCTCATAAATATAGAACATCACGGCTAGATGTTTTAGCATATCTTTACTAAAAATTTATATCCATAAAGTAAAGACTATATACAATTTTGTAGTGTGGTTTTATTGGGATTTCTTGCCTTTTTTGTTTAATTTTTTAATGAAAAAAACAGTTAGAGAAAACACAAACCTTATCAGCTGGGGAAGGTGCCCATGCCGCTTTGACTGCATCTCTATGGTTTTCATGGGAGTTTTAATGAAAGCATGTAGTTAATATTTATTATTTTCCTGTTTATTTTTGTGACAAAAATAACACATTTTTAAACTAAGGATGACAACTCATCCCTATTTATATTTCATTATTTTCTCATATATAAATAAGCAATCTCACTTTTATCATGACTGCACTATATAGAGGAGGCAACTGTGTTTCTTTGCTCCACTTTGAGTGAAAAAAATTGACAAATAACACTAAATTAAAACAAATCTTTTAGGAAAATCCTTTGAAAATATCCTACACTTTATCATGAGTTAGTCATGTATGTTTCACCTTGCTTGTTTAAAGGTTATAAACTTTGTAAAATGTCAAAAATCCACATCTGAGATGACATTTGACAACTGTCAGCTCCTAAAGAGGCATTGAATCTTCATAGGATTTAGACTATTCTTATTAAAAATAAAGATGCAACAATTAGAGATTACATGTGTGTTTTTAAACATGCATTTATCCAGATATTCAACAGCTTTATTTGTTTTTTTACAAGAAAAGGTAGCTGAAGAAAACACAATCCTTATCATGTCAGAGAGGGTGGGGAAGGTGCCCACGCTGGTCTTAGGCCTGCCCCTATAGGGCTCTCATCTGGGTTTTATAAAGCCTGACTTTCTGACAAACACAAGCAGGAATATTTCTCTGATCTATCCTCAGTTTGACCTCAACTGACCTGAACCTACAGGTGAAGCTCCATAATGTCTTCTCCTGTGATTGCCTTGCCCGCGGCATCCTCAGCTAAAAAGAAAGCCAGATCTAAGAAGAAGTCAGGTCCTTCAGTGTCTGACCTGATCCTGAAGATTGTGTCTGGCTCTTCCCAGCGTGGTGGTGTGTCTCTGGCAGCCGTAAAGAAGGCCCTTAAAGCCGGAGGGTATGATGTGGTGAAGAACAAGGCAAGGATAGCAGTGGCTGTCAAGCGTCTGGTGAGCAAGAAAGTTTTGCTCCGGACCAAAGGCTCTTTTAAGCTTAACAAGAAGCCTCCTAAACCCAGAAAGAGGAAGGTGGTGAAGAAGAAGAAGCCAAAGACCAAGAAGAAGACAGCAAAGAAGACCACCAAAAAGGCAGTTAAAAAGTCCCCAAAGAAGAAGAGGAAGGCCAAGAGCCCCAAGAAAGCCAAAAAGCCTGCTGTGGCCAAAAAGGCAAAGAAGCCAAAGAGCCCCAAGAAGGCGAAGAGGGCCAAAGCTAAAAGGACCAAGACTGCAGCCAAGAAGTGAGGGCTCCATGGAACCAAAGGAACATCTTCTGGGCATTACTCTGTGTGGACTAAGATGCATTCAACTAAACTAAGTTTGCCTTTCTGAACTTGCTTTTTTTTCTTTCATATCCTGTTTATTCTCTCTTTTCCACCTTATCTGCTATGGTCTGTCACAGACTGAATTCATTTTTGGAAATAAAAAGAAATCGTTATGATTTAACAGTGTGTCATGCATTTTTTGTTATTTATTATTGCAGAAATGACAGCATTTGTACACTTTCAGCTTGACTTAGACTATCTTAGCATTTAAATTTAAAAAAGTTTTAAAAAGAAGCTACCAGTAAATTATACTCATTTATATCTAATTGACTAATTTCTCAAGGGTAGATGTGCTTTTTTAGTAGGAGTTTTACTGCATTGTACTTTTCACTTTTACTTGAGTACATTTTCTGCCTTCTTTACCCATTACGAGTAACTAAAGTGAAGGAATAACAAACCTCTTTAAATCAAAAAACACCGAACACAGAAATAAATATTCATATTTTTGCACAAGCTTTAGTGTGTTCTGTTATTTTCTGTTATACAATAAACAGATACTTTACTCTGCTTTTTGTTTTTATAAGGCTTTTGTTTAATTCAATTCAGTTTTTCTATATAGAGCCAATTCACAACACATTTCCTCTCTTTATAGTTCACCAGATCATACAGTCAAATTGATTCAAAGTTTTTCTATATGAGGAAAACCAGCTGATTGCATCGACTCATTGACTCGAAGGCAATCCCTAAACAGGGTGTCTGCCTCACGGACTAAAACTGGTAGTTGGTTCCACAGGAGAGGAGCCTGATAACTAAAATATCTGCCTCCCAGATCTTGACAGGTCCTGCCTCCCAGATTGACAGGTCCTGATTAAAGATAACTCCAAGATTTTTTTCTTTATTATCTGAGATCAGTTTAATCCCATCCAAATGATGCAACTGACTAATCAGCTTATTTTTCAAAGACTCTGGTCCAAATACTATAACTTCTGTTTTGTCTGCATTCAGGAGCAGAAATCTTTTTGTTACAAAATAATTGGTTGAGAAGTTTTTCTCCTACCAGTGTTTAACTCATTTTATTTTTGTATTTAAAATACCAGCATTTAAACAGAATTTTAAGTTTACTTTCTTGGTCTGATTAATTTTTTTTTTCAATTGAACACAGAACCTGGGTAGCTTTTTTTTTCACCAGATAGTTTTTTTAAACTCTCATTTAAGTATTCCCTTTGATGGATACTTTTTACTTTTAATTTTGTAAAAAAATTGTTCAAGGATAAAGCTGTTTTCATATGAGTAAAATTTTGTGCACCGTACCTACCTGTGCTTACTTGTCTACTCAGTTGTATTGTTGGGTTTTATACTAATTTGGTGAAATCTTAGCATAAACCATATGTTCTGAAGGTACACTATTATCCCCTTTAATCCCCCCTCCCCCCAAAAATTTAAAAATAAGAAGCAAACCTGAACAAAAGAAAAAGTTACAAAAACACTATTTAGTGTCCATAATGCTTGACTGATCAGTTGCAGGAATAAACAGTTCAGTGGTGTTCTCTTGTATCCAACAACTGCAAATGAGACAAAAAAGGAGGTTTTCTTTCTTTCTTTCTTTCTTTCTTTCTTTCTTTCTTTCTTTCTTTCTTTCTTTCTTTCTTTCTTTCTTTCTTTCTTTCTTTCTTTCTTTCTTTCTTTCTTTCTTTCTTTCTTTCTTTCTTTCTTTCTGCAGCTTGGGTATAAGAAGTGATTATGATTACTAAGTTAAATGTCGCCATCTGCTGGTTGCTCAGAGGCACAAACATGGACACTTCAAGGAAAAATCAGCATCATCTTTGATATGTAAGATTTTTTTGTTTTCTCTAAATAAGACTTTCTTGAAGGGTACAGTATACATAAAAAAAAAACAGTATAGAACCGGACGCAAAAGGTAAACAACACATTTATTACAAACATATGCCTAAATAGTTTGCTGTACATTTGAATTCTCCCATTTTATCTGCTACCTCTAAATAAATCCCCGTGCTCCGATTATGTCCAAAGTCACCAAATGTCAGCTTAGTATATTTAAATCTCTTTATAAATATCGTTCTGCTTTTCTGAGAAGGCCAAATGGACTTGTTAAAGAACTTGTTAAAGAACTGAAAATAAAACAACATCATGAAGACCAAGGAACCCATCAAATAGCTCAGGGATAACATTGTGAAGAGATTAAAAGTGGAGTCTGCAACAAACTCAATATAGACAGACACTTTGTGACTCTATCTACAAGATAGTGTCATGCTCTTAGTGCTGATGTCTGGTCTGATTACTAATGTCACTCACCTGCTTATCCCCACCCAGTTCTCTTTACCGCTCACCTGATCCACCTGCTTCAGTCTCTATTTAACCAGGCTTCAGACCAGTTATCATTGCCAGATCATTTTGAGCCAGTGGTGAGAAGTTTTTGAGCATTCTTGTTTTTCTGACCCGTTCTGCTTCTCAACCTCTGAACCTGCCTGTCACAGTTCCAATCTGTTTGCCTGACCTGTCTTCTGACTCCAGCCGGATTCCTGCCTGTAGGTGTACCGAACCTGGAGCTGTTTCCCCAACTCTGATTTGGATTTCCCTTCGGCACCTCTTTTGATCTCTGATCTCCTGGCTCTGACTACCGAGCATGTCTTTGAAACCGGTTTTGGCTTCGCCCTCTGGATTATGCTGCCTTCCTTCGTCTGCTCATTTTGAGAAATTTAACTTTTTGTCTACCTCGAATACTGGTTCTGACAGAGGGAACATTAATGATGGAATGATTAAAGAGGATCTGATAACTCTGGAGGAGCTGTAGAGATCCACAGCTTAGGTGGAGAAGATGTTAATAGGAAAACGTTTGTACTCCTCAAGTCTATATTTTCTTTGCAGAAACATGACCTACAGAATCCCAGTGTTAAAAAAGTCTGAGATGGTCCATTTCCAGTTTGCCACAGGTCATACAGAGATATTGCATGGTCAGTTTTTATAAGACATGTTGCTTAATGGGAAGACAAACAAACAAACAGAACAATAAGTAACACATTATACATTATCCTGATAGCAGAATAAAGCGAGAATTCTCTTCTTCAGGAAGTTGGTCACACTAGGTGTGACATTTAATAAAGCCTTTTCCTCAAATTTGACATGAACGATGCAGGGACAGAGTTGAAATTAAGGTCTCAGCAGAAAATAAACCATAGTTACAAATGAATGCTTTATATCAAAGATGTCGACGCAGCATATTTGTTCAAACCCCCCAGTCAATGTTCAGACTGAAATAAAATAGAGAATCTGCAGTAAGACTTGGGTTTTTCATTTTTGCAACAGGAAGTGAGAAGTGAAGCAGGGTGGTGTGGTGTGGGGGGTTCGGGTAAAGATGTAACACAGTTCTAAGTGTTAAGAATTCTGAAAAACATGTTTTATTTTATTTTCAGTTTATAAATTTCAGTCAACAAAATCCCAATAAATGATTAAGAATAATGTTGTCCTATGAAAAATGCAGAAAGGTTCAGAAGATATAAAATCCTTACCAAGCATAGTAACATATTGTGGTTCTTTGTTTGATGGCAGCGAGGGGAAGTGAGTGATACTCAGGTTGGCGTAATGTTGATTTTGTATTAAATAATTAAACCATTTAGAGAGGGAAAAATTAAACTTCCTTATAAGCAAAGTTGGAGTTTTGTCCAAGGACTCGTGGAAGTTTTTTTTTTAGGTGTTTGTGTGCACCAAACAAGTTTAGATGTGAACACTGTGAGGTTGCTCAGAATTTCTCCGGGGTTTCCCAGATACAGATATGCTCATGTGACGCAGACATTGTTTCCTCTAATCTCGTGTTTTTACATCTACTTTCAGTTCCTTATTACATGGGGAAAACTAAAAATAGCATAATCAAAACATTGAAGTAGAGATAAAGTGTTGAAGTTCCCTTTTCCAACCTACATCTGTTTTTAAGGAAGTTTATTTCTCTTCTCCTTCTATAGTTTAAATGACTTAGTGTCTGTATGTACATTATCTGTAATCAGTGGCATACTTAGCCATTTTCAGCTTTTTTTAATGTCATTACACTTTCACAAGTAGAGAGTAACAAAATTCACTGCGTTTAACCCACCCCCTTGGGGAGCAGTGGGCTGCCATTGTGCAGCACCATGGGAACAACGTTGGGTTAAGGGTCTTGCTCAGGGACCCAGAGTATCAGTCCGTGTGAGTGGGGTTTGAACTCAGAACCTCTGGATTCCAATAACAATGCCCTAACCACTATTTTGGCCCAATCACATTTTAGTTTGGATAGAGCAGTTATTCAATGAATGTGCAGCCCAATGATTACAAAATGGGGGATGTGTCTAAATCAGCAACAATACTGTTCAGTACAGGAGGCTTCTAGCTCCTTCAAGGAAGGAATGAAGAAGATGAAATGTCACTCTAGCTACTCTATCTTAATGAAAGTGTTGGGATATTCGCCATCCCTGCAAAGCAGCATTTGCGTTTACTTAGGGTACACAGTGAATACATTTACCGACTAGCTTAGCATAAGAGAAACAATGGACCACATCTTCTCCATTGGCTGGCACTTCTTGACTCCTCAGCCATTTATTCAGACACATAGAAAAGAACACGGCAGTGGCATGCACGGGCACCTGCTTGGGCACTGACGTCATTACGTCACACAGTGATTGGATGCTGATAAACATGTCTTTGCCAAACTAACAAAAATATGCTTAACAGAAAGAATGTACAGTATACCTTTTTTTCTATACCTGATAGAGAAAAAAGTATTCATGTTTGTTTAAGCAAGTTAAGAAGTTCCTTCCCCATTTTTAAGAGTAGCTTGCACATATGCGCAATATACCTTTTGTGTTTCTTTATTGTCAGGTTATGGACGAGTGGGTAGCGATTATATGAAATATAGTTCTGCCCTCTGAACCTGTCCGTTCCCATTCTAATCCATTTGCCAGACCTGTCTTCAGACTCCTGCTGGATTCTGCCTGTTTACTGAACCTGGAACTGCTTCCTGACACCGTCCTGGATTTCCCTGCGGTTCCTCTTCAGATCTCTAAACTTATGGATGACTCCTGTGAGCATCTTCGACACTGGCTTTGGCTTTGTCTTCAGGATTATATTACACAGGGTAAACGTTTCTGTTAGATTGGAGCAATATATTATTTTGATTGTTGTTAATGGCAAAGCTGGTAAACTTGATAAACTCATATGGAACAGGTACAACATATTTTAAAACAAATTAGCAAACTGAGCAAATACAATTGTAAACACTTTTTTTTATTGGAACAACACTAAAGTATAACTATTTGCTATATATTTTAAAGTAGCCATTGCACAGCTGAAGTCTTGAGTTGCAGATATAAATGCATCCCTACTCTGGCGAAACTTAATACATTTATTATCCTGCTTGACAAGTTTTGCAAAGGCATTAACATTTATTTTATTTAGCTGTGTTGTGGCAAAAATGTATCTAAAAGTTGCAGGAAAGCAGCACTTTAGGACTGGTGTTACAGTAGGGAAGTGTACAGCTTGTTAACCAGTGTATATTTACTGAACCTTCTAAAGAAATCGACACATTTAATCATTAACTGTTGGCGACAAAACCATGTACAGACCTTTGTAAAAATGTTGAAATGAGTTGCAAATTAGTTTGTGTTATTTTGACAGAACAGCAGCTATACATATTTATAAAAGATTTTAAGCATTGTTTCATTATAAAACATATAAACAATATTTAAAAAATGTGATGGGTGTAATGACCTTTGAGGTACTGTACATGTTTACTATAATTGTAGGTAGAGGTGAGGATTTTTATGTCACCTTTTATTACTTTCCAATTGCTTGGTTAAAATTAGTGTCCTCAATGTGTTTTGTGTTTCCACTTTCTGGCATAAATGGTAGAAAATATCTAATTCTGTTACAATTCACTTTCCATGGAATAAATTTTTATTATTTTCTGATAAATTGTTACAAAATTCAAACTTTAATTTGTAGGAAGAGTGTTATTTTTTATAGAGGATTTTATTTTATCAGACTAGATAAGGGAAATGGGCTCATAAAAAATGTAAGTGAAGGAAATACCAAGAATCACTTGCTTCCCATTTGTCATGTGAGTATTTATGTTAGAGGAAGGATTTGGCTTGAACTTTATATTGAGCTGCCTCTGAAAAAATGTTTTATTATTTTCTGATAAATTGTTACAAAATTCAAACTTTATTTGTAGGAGGATTGTTACGTTTTATAGAGGATTTTATTTTATCAGACTAGATAAGGGAAACGGGCTCATAAAAAATGTAAGTGAAAGAAAAACCAACAATTATTTACTTCCCGTTTGTCATGTGATTATTCATATTAGAGGCAGGATTTGGCTTAAACTTTATATTGAGCTGCCTCAGCTCTTACTTCACACAAAGGCACCATGGAGTCTGCCCTGACACTCCTTGCTGCTGTTACTTTCTTCCAAATCTGCTCCTCTGGTCCTGTCAGCCATCCAACCAACTGGCTCAGACAATGCCGGGCCTCCACCAACCTCTCCGTCACAGCCTTGGAAGTCCTGCCAGGAGGAGGCTGGGACAACCTTCGTAACTTGGACATGGGTCGAGTGATGAACCTGAGCTACTTCCAGTGCCAAACCACTGAGGATGGGCTCTACTTCATCCCAGATGAGGTGTTTGTCATCCCACAGAAGCAGACTGGTGTGGAGACCAACTCTGAGATAATCAGCTCCTGGCAGGAGCAGAAAAGCACCACATCTCACTCCATAAATTCTGACGTATCCTTCTTCTCGATACTTAATGGCAAATTCTCTGCCGAGAGCACAAGGATGAAATCACATCAGGTTAAAGATTCATCAACAACAGCCAGAGTGCAGGTAAGTCTTTTTTTCCACTTCCTTAATTGGTAAAAAAAAAAATTTGAGCAAACATGTACAGTTTATGTAGTTGCTAAATTGAAATGTCACACTTGCTACTTATTTATATATATATATATTTATATATATAAAAAAGAAATATTACAAATTTGTGCCAACATTTATAATGGTAAATAATAACATACACCATGACGGACCAGTCATAACAAGAGCTTGTTAAACAAAAGAAGATCATTTTTATCAATAATTTTACGGAACATTATAAATGATCTCTCTTCTAATACTAATTTAATCACAAGGCTTATGCTTTTTTCTCAACTCTATTTTGTTTCATAAGAGACCTCAAGAACAAGAAAGGCAGACACAGATAGGGCAGAAAAGCTGCTCCACCACATCTAAAGTCATTAGACGAATTATAGATTTCTCATTTATGATGATGGGTTTAATGATGCTCTGTGGGAGTTTCAAAGCTTAAAATACAGTTTTATAGAATGCTTTAAAGTTTTATTAAAATAGACCAGACATCTCTAAAATTTGCTTTCGTCTTTATTATGCTGTTTGCATAAGCAGGTCACAGAATAACTGGATTCATGTTGAGATTGATGGGCTTTGTTTCCCGATTAGATGTCTTCTCAAGAAACCTGGTTACATTTAATTTAGATCTGAGTAATGGGGCTATAACACAAACCACACATAATTTTTTGAAAGAGTCCTTCATTTTAAGCACTAGTTCATGTTGGTCAAACACCTGAGATTCCAACAAAATACTTTTTGTTGAGGCTGCAAAGTGACACAATACTGTTACTGGATCCCTAACTAAGCTGATGTAAACGCCTTTAATTTCCTAAATCTTTTAATGTAAATCATGTTTTCAATCTGGTACATTTTCTTGTAAAAGTAAAGATACATTTTAATATAATGTCACAAATCAGAAAAGAGGACCCAGTATTCAGGCAAGACAGACAGTGGGCTACTTCTAAAGTATTTTATTAAAACTACGGGCTGCAGATCTGCAGTAGCAGCAGCTAAGGCGTGTGAGGCAGGAAACTCTGGAGAGAGGAAGACACAGGTTAGTGACCACGTAGATTTAAGGGATCAAGATTAAGAACGTGAGTCACTAGTCTGGTTTACAAGTTCAGTCCATAGCCAGGGAACGAGGTAGGATCCAGTCGGGGGGCCGCTAACAAGATGCAGTGGGCACTGCCCAGTGTCCCAGCTGCTGCAGCCTCGGGGTCAGAAAACCTTGACACTAATCAAAATCCCAAGAGTCCGAAGCCAAGTGAGGCAAACAGATCAGAACAGGGAGGCTTAGGGGTCCAGGAGTACAAAGACAGTTCAGGCAAACCATTCTGACCATAACAGGTAGGCTTAGTGGCTGAGAGGCAGAACAGGTCAGGATCAGGATATATGAAACACAAAGGTACGCTAAAAACTCTCTCACCACTGGCTGGAGAGAATAATCTGGCATGATCCTGGATGCAAGCACATTAAATAAAGTCAGGAGCAGGTGGATCAGATGAGCAATGATTAGAAACAGGGCAGAGTTAGACAGTTGAATAGAATGAGTAATTAAGCCAGTCAGTGCCAAGATCATGACATATAAATGTTCTTTCTCTCAACAGGTTCGCAACTTCCTCTACACAGTGAAAGCATATCCAGACTTCACATTGGATTCTCGCTTTGTTCAACAAACTAAAGAAATTGCTGATGCCATTGAAAACAACCAGACAATGAATGCAGACTATCTCTCTGAGAAGATGGTACTGGACTATGGAACACACGTTATCACCAGTGTTGATGCCGGGGCTTCTTTGGTGCAAGAAGACTACCTCCGTTCCTCTTATGTCTCAGACAGTGCCTCAGATAGCTCCACTGTTAAAGCTCAGGCTGGTTTAAATTTTTTTGACAAAATAAAGTTTGACATTAGTAGTCAGTCGAGCCAACAAAGCTCAACACTAAAAACATATCAGTCCAACATTCAGTACTCCATTATCCAAAGCCATGGGGGCATACCATTTTATCCTGGAATCACTTTGCAGAAATGGCAGGAAAGTACCAGGAATAACCTGGTTGCTATTGACCGTTCAGGATTTCCCCTCCATTATTTCATTAACATTAATACTATTCCTGATCTGCCACAACCTACCGTTGATAAAGTAGCTAATAAAGTAAAAGGTGCCATAGAGCGCTACTACAAGATCAACACCCGCCCTGGCTGCGTTGACATCAGCTCCAAGAATTTCAACTTTCAGGCCAATGTTGATGATAATTCCTGTGAGGGCCCAGCCACCAACCTCAGTTTTGGAGGGGTCTACCAGGAATGTACAAAACTTAGCCAAGATGCAGATCCGCTTTGTAATACACTGGCCCAGAAAAATGTAGCGACAGGTGATTTCTCCTGTCGTCCACCTTACACCCCAACTTTACTGCGATCAGAAGTGAGACAGCAGGGATACACCGCATATGAATGCCACAGAGAAAGGTATTCATGTGGATTGTTTGGGTTGTTCCATTGTCACAGGCAGGTTTGTAATGATGTGTATCGTGTTCGCTCAGCTCGTATTGATACATACTGGTGTTCTGTAAATGGAAAAGCACCAGATAACTCGGGATATTTGTTTGGAGGAATCTACAGTCCCTCTGCTTTGAACCCCATCACCAAGTCTAAAAGCTGTCCTCCAAACTTCATCCCAGTAAAATTTCTGTCTGATGGCCAAGTTTTTTGCATGAGTAATGACTATGAAACTGGTACCAGATACTCTGTACCATTTGGAGGGCTCTTCAGCTGTGAAGCTGGTAACCCACTGGCTAATAACCACAACAGATGCCCTCCCAAATTCAGCCAACACCTCGCTACAGTAAGCGATGGATGTGAAATTCTTTACTGTGTCCAGTCTGGATTATTCACAGGGGGTGAGCTGCTACCAATCCATCTTCCTCCATTCCGAAAAACTCCTCTTGTCAGTATGCAATCCACCAACACGGTGATGGTGATGACTGAAGGAGAAAAGAACTGGGTCAGGGTAGGGCAGACGAAAGCATGGAGACTGGTCAAACAAGAGGAAATCCAAGAACTCTCTAGGAAGTTCAACCCAGAACTTAATCAGATGTCAAGTGGAGAAAAAGCAGGAGTGGCATTTGGAGTGATGGGCTTGATAGGACTGGTGGTCATAGTTGTAGTGATCGTTATTAGAAGGAGAAAGTACTCTGGATTTACAAGACGAGGATATGAGGTAATAAGTGAAGAAATTGAGACCAATACATCCCAAGAAGAGGCTTAAAACCATAAAATACACGTTTAGACCTTATTTTTCACCACTCAATGATTGTCTCAGTGCTTTTGATTTCCAAGAAAAAAAATCACTTGTATAAAGAATTATTTTTACAAGATATAAAATAAAACCTTTTGGATTTCTTTATTTTTTCTTGTTATAACTGAAATCAGACTTCAGTGTTTTTAGTTGGTTAAAACGAAAACAATATTAACAAAAAGCTGTTTTGAGGTGTTAACCACATGTAAAAAGTATGGACAATAAAACACAACTACAGTTACAGAAATCAGATCTATTTAGTATGATTTTTCATATCATATGATATATGATTTATCATTCCATAGGATTTGATATGATTTATATAAGAGATTGCTTTAAATGCTAGAGGTAGTCAAAAACATATTTAGTTATATGCTTCTGTAGCAATTTTGTCTTTGCTGGTCAAACAATGCCAAAACTAAAATGTATTTCTTTGTTTTTTTTTCTTGGAATATGTATATCATATTTTATCACGAATTGTTTGAGCTTTTTTTCAAAATAAAGTTCACCTTTTCTCTAGGCATTAATATCCAAGCCAACCAATTATGAACAAGACACAGTGGTGTATTGTATTTCTATATTTTCAGAAAAGTTTTCTGGGTTTAGGTTTTAAACCTCAGTAGTATAAGTTTTATCCATGACATTCATCCATAGCGAAGATATGTAGAATACTCTGACATTACTGCTTTATTTTGATACAGTGTACATGTATTGGAAAAACATGTTTAATTTTTGCATAATAAAGTTCTTTTCAATATATTTACAGATATGGTTTGATTTCATAGGCTAGTTAAGGATGATGCAAAAAGAGGTCAAATAGTTAATGTGTGTTATCATGTGTTGATCTTAAAACTAAGATTACAAAACTGCTTACTCATAATTCCAATACATTTTCACAAAACCTGTATCATCACTCCTAGCAACAAAGTTGTGAGCAGCTGCAGAAAAGGAGTGGATTCAATGAAATTATACATGTAAGTGTTTTGTCAGCAATATTAATTTATCCAGGGGGAAATGTTTTGAAATGTTTTTAATTACATATCAACATCTGTAATTTCCTGCCTAATAAAGAACAACTGAGAGATGTAATACATCTTCACAGCAACAATTACAGAGGGAAATAGCTATGCTCTCTGATTTCTTTCATTTATGCTCAGAAATCGGTTAGCTCCCTCTTCTCTAGTTAGAATTATGACTTAGACGGCTGGAGCTATCTGATCAGACTCTATGGCTTTAGGAGTTTGTACCGGTACCTCATTAAATTAATTAAGTAAATAAATAAAAAATTTATAGCAACTTTTAATGAACATGAACATCCCAAAGTCCTTTTTCTATAATATTAATAAAAATTAACTATAGCAATCTAGTCAAATGCTTTTTGGATTCTTTTCAAATGAATCAGTGGAGTTTATGTTGCACAGAGATAGTGGAAGGGAGTTCCAGGACCAGAGTCCACATCCTGAAAAGCTTAATCTCCACAAATTTTAATATTAATGTGGCAACTCTGTGAAAGGCTTCAATAAGTTCTGAAAATGGATTCAAAAAAATAATCAACTCATTATTAGCTGTAAAAATAATGGTTTATCAGATAAGAAAATTGTTCCATCCATTTAACTAGTACTGCTATAATGCTTCGTAATTTGAAGTAAAAAGAAAAAGAATGGCCCCTAAAACAGATCCCTGAGGTACCCCAATGACAAAACACAGTGTAGGAATGAACTTTATTTATTAAAACTATAAAAAGATCTATAAGAAGGGTGAGACCTGAACCATTTCAAAGCAAACCACACTGACCTCTGTATGTTTATTGTTAGCAGATGATTAATGCCAAGATCTGTCAAAAGTAGATAATAGATTTAATAAAACTTAAGCAGTGTACTCTTCAGAATCACAAGCCATCAATTTGTCACTGGACATTTTTATTAAAGCTTTTTTTGGAGCATCATGATTCAAAACATTAAATCAGTAGCACATACTTTGCTTCATACATTTTTTTTGTGAATGTATGGCTTCATGATTTAAGTGAATTAAATATAGAGTAATATGTTGATTTCTGTTTCTATTTCTGATAATATATATCATTACAGTAGTTAAGCAATTGTACTGTTTTTCCAAAATTCACAATAATCTACTTAACTCTTGTGTGTTATCATCCCAAAAATAAAAAAATTTCAGCTTCAAAAGCTAGTGGGCATAATAGCGTAATGGACCAACTAATCACAGCTCGACTGGTATTCTGAGGCCAGACTTTTACAGTTCAAAATTAGAACAATGTCAGTCATGTGGTGGAACAGTTTTTGTCTTTAAAGATTTCATTTTCCCAGGCAACCTCAACCTCAATTTTCAACAGGTAGACAGACTGCCTTACTCTCCTAAGGTCTGATAAGATAAATATTGGTCATTAGACAGCTTTTGTCTAAAACAATTTCAAATTTCAATTTAAAGTAATTTACAAAAGCTTAGCTTTTGCATGAGTATGTTTTGATTTAAGTATTTTACTCTGTTTCCTTTGAAATCACATCTGTACCTGACTGAAAATAAATAAATTAAGAAAAACTAAAACAAACACTGAAACACTGGAAGAAACTTTAGCTATTCATCATCAGTTAGTAATATATATATATATATATATATATATATATATATATATATATATATATATATATATATATATATATATATATATTGCTTCTGTTATTCCCCCCACCAATAAGAGATTTCGAAAAATGTCTAGATTTCTGTTAATGTTAATATTTGTTGTCAATTTGTTGTTAATATGATCAGTCCATACACCAGACTCTGAGCAACTTTCCATTTATAATACTTCTGTTTATTTGTCACCCAACTACTATGGCTATCAAATGTGACATCCAATAGTATGGATTGCTTCTTTATTTTGTACAGTATTTTCAGATGTACACCTTTAGTGTAGATTCTACACAATGTTTGGTTCCTGGTTATCACCCGAGAAAATATGGAACCGAAACCCCAAACCAGACTTGTAGTCATTCTGTATGATATAAATGAGACTAAAGCTGAGGTGTTTATTTTCAGTAGTTTTTAAACCCCAAAGACTGACTCACCCTAAAGATCAAGTCTATTGGTATAAAGTGCCATCAGAACCGTGACCAGTTATAAAACAGAGAAACGCTGCTGCCACTGGCCAAAGGTATGGCCCAGCACAGAATAGCAACATCATTGGCCAAGATTGATTGGCTTTCAATGGCGTCCTCCAGAGGACGAACAGTGGTTTGAAAGAGGAGTAAATGAAGCCATTTTTGTATAGAAAAACTAACCCTTTTTTAAACAGGGGTGAAGGTTTTAGGGTCCATCTCTCCCCTTATGCATTTTTTTCCATTGGTAACTTATTTATTCAGGGCAGGTAAGGTCAGGTCAGTTAACTTTGGCATTTATTTTCCATTACATTGCAGAAGTATTTCAATGGGGGGGTGGAGCAATTACGTCAAATCTACAGTTTGACGTAATGTGGTTTGCAAAGACACCGCAACAATGGCCAGCTCCTTATATGTTTGTTGTAAGTATGTTTAAAAGAGAGTACCAAGACAAGCTGTGGATAGCTAGATGAAGCAACCTAGATATGTAAAGGAGAGTTAGAGAACCTATACGTTATCAAATGAAAGATAAGGCTACCTACTGTTAGCTTGCTTTAACAGTGTTCATTAGGGGTGGGTATTGCCAAAGAAGTCACGATTCAATTCGAATCACGATTCACAGGCCACGATGCGATTCTATCACGATGCATCACGATACTTGAATTATTGCGATGCATTGCAATATTTTCTCCTCCATGTTTTGTTCTTGAATGACTCGGCACAGTATCCCACGGCCGGAAATGCTTGTGACACAAGGCAGCGTGCGTCAACACATTTGCAGCGACATCTACAGGACTGGAAGTTGTATTACACTTGTTTTTGGCTGATGTTCGCCAACCATTCATGCAATTTTATTTATTCATTTTTTAAAATTAATAATCGATTCTTGGCATCAAGAATCGATGCAGTAGATCACGAAAATTAGAATCACGATGCATCATCATCACGATTATTTTGCACACCCCTAGTGTTCATGTACCAAGCTTAAAAGGATATCATGGTTAAAGATAGTTATAAAAAAAAAGGTGTGACACAACCCCCTAACTAATTGGTGACCAAAAGTCCTCTGATGCTGTTTTCACTGTGACTCCAATCAGTAGGAACCACAAGCAAATAGGCACTAAAACTAAAAACAGATCCATGTAACCTTTAAAAATGGAAACATTTAAAATCAACATGTTAAACTGATACTTGCACTTGGTACTTTCTTAAAACTGTCATCAGCACTAACAACTGTTAGTCCTTGTTTGATTGTGAGCAACCTATTTTGATTGTTTCCACTAACTGGTTGATCGACTATGCAAAGACGCTGCTAAGACTTAGACAAATCACTATATTTTTTTGATAAATAGAACACATGAGTAAAAGATTGTATAATATATTTTACATGACAGCTGAAATAGACATAAGATATTTCTTAGCTTAAACTGTGTGCGGTGTGATTTGATTTAAAGGAAATGCTGTATTTATATGACGTCCTAACATGAATGTTTGGTTGTGAGGCATAGTTTGAACAAGAACTACAATACATACTGCCTCCCCTTTTTTGAGGAACATTTTTGTTTGGATATATTTACTTTCCTCCATAAGATAAAAAAACATCTCTCAGCTTGACTTTATTTTTAATGACGTTATAAAATGTGAAGTACTACATTTCTAATTTAAAGTTTTTTTTCAAAACAGTTTTTTATTAATTGAAAACAGTTGTTTACAATTTTCTAATTATTTATTCAAATTTTGTTTATCTGGTTTCAATTGCTTTTAACCCTCATATTTTTCCATTTGGGAGCACAAAATGCAGATAAGCACTTTTAATACACATAGGGAAGGCAAAAAGACCTAAAGATGTGGAAAACAGCAAATGCTGAGCTGGCACAGATATTTAAAATGAAAGACTCAACTACAAAAGACAAATTTTATGTCAGAAAAGGTGGGGATGTTGCCCATGATGCCTTGACAATTTCTGTATGATCTTGGTTTTATCTTCTTTGAATCCAAACTTTTTTCTACACAAACCATGGCTACCTAGCTGCGTTTATGCTTGCTTCCTCTTATACTGGAAGACTTTACCTTACTTTTATAATGATTTGTACAAATTAGGCTACAGTGTTTCTTTAGTACTTTTTCAATGGATAAATTGGACGAATAAAAATTATATATATATATATATATATATATATATATATATATATATATATATATATATATATATATATATATATATATATATAAAGAACTATACATTAATTGTGTCAGTCTGACTTAAAAAAAAATGAAATGTGTCAACTGGTGGTGGATGTGGTTGTGGACCCAAACGCAAAATAGAAGAAGACAACGAAGAATTTTTGCTGATTTCATCAAGATCCAAATGCAAGGGAAGGAAAGTCCAAAAACAAAAAAACAGAAAACCAAGAGACGTCACGGAAAACACTCATGAGAAACAAAGAAATGGTCAGAAACCAGCATGAGGAACTGCATATGAGGTGTATATATGGGGGACAGAACAAAGAATGGGCTAATGAGCTGATATGGAGCAGGTGTGGATAGAAGTAACTAGGGGAAAGGAGACTGGCACAAGGGAGTAACAGAGAGTAACTCAAAAAATGCAACAATGCTTAAATATAACACAAAATGGAAAAGAAAAAAATGACCTACGAAAAAGAATGACATAAATAATTGAAAACTCAAAAAGAAGTCCTAAGGGGAGAACCATAGCAGAAATCTTTTTATTAGTTACACAGCACTTAAGTAAACCTTTAACCAAATACTATTTTACTCCTACCTAAGTAAATATATGATATTGAGTAAATACAGTATAGTTATTATTTTGGCAGTGCAAAGATGACCTGCTACATGTTGAATTTTCTGGGAATCACATAATTAACTGCTGCCTTTTATGTTACAATTCACATACAAAATTTGTGAGGTACTGAAACTGAAAATATCAACCCAAAATGTTTAATTTTTATTATTTACCATTAATTTGCAAGTGAGATGAATTGTTGTGGGATATGTGAATCCACAAACTCCAGAAAATACATCCATAGAGAAATATTTCAGGCCAATGAAATGCAATGTCAACCCATTAACCAGAGGCAAAAAGCTGAAGCAAAACAAACATGGCTGCGCCGGTTTTCTTTTTGAAAAATTAGCACAAGTACATGCTTTTTGCCTTTTTGAAAATAACTTTTTTTTTTTCTGACCGAATTTAGTAAGAGGTTGATTTATCAGTTAACTCCGCTAGTTGTTAAACAAATCAAGCTGCTACTGCTGCTGTGATTGGATACAAATTCGACACGAGAGGCAGGTATCCCATCAGTTCAAAGAATTGTACAGCATGTCCCTTCCTTTTGCAAACACTTTCTACATGAATTCTACATAGTATCACTCTGGCTTATAAATCTCAAACTTAAATGTTTTTAAGATATGGCGATTAAACATACCCCTTTAAAAAATCAGTTTGTGGCCACACCCACAGGGTATATGAAAGCCAATGGGAAAAGGAGTCATCCATGTAAGGTCCTTGTCTCCTTGTTGATAAACTACAGAGCAAGCATGTAACTTCAGAAGTCACCAAATATCCCCTGAGTGTATATTAAAATGCAGTATAAATACTGTCTGATAAGGCCACAGGCCATTGATAAAGAACACATTTGAAGATATTATAGTATCATGAAGACCAAGCAAACCATCGGACAGCCTCAGGGTTAAAAGTTGGTAAAGGTTAAAAGTTGTGTTTCTGTTTTAAAACAACATATTAAGTTTCAATACATGAAGTTACTTGAATCTCTTAGATGTAACTGCAAAAAAAAAAAAAAAAAAAAAAAAAAAAAAAGGTACCCGCTCATGCATGCGAGAGCAAGAATGAGTCAATTTCTCCTCGTGCACGCTCCGTTTAAAAGTTGCTGTTTGCATGGCTCATACAAGCTCACTTTCCATAAGAAGATTTGCAATTTTTCCACTATTTCAGACTCACCACTGGTAAGTGAAAATGAGGATGAACACATAGGACAGGCTTACATAAACATACTACCAGAATGATTGACTATTAGGAGGACCACTTTTTATGATGATCCACCCAGAAAAGACACAGAATCAATCAATCAATCAATCAATCAATCAACCAATCAATCAATCAATCAATCAATCAATCAATCAATCAATCAATCAATCAATCAATCAATCAATCATTCAATCAATCAATCAATCAATCAATCAATCAATCAATCAATCAATCAGTATATTCTCCTGGGGGCAGAATCACGTTTTTAGATTTCTATCAGAAAAATTGAAATTAATCACACTAGAAAAGGCAATGAAACTGCAGAAGTTCCTATATAGATGATAATGGTATGGATTTAAAATACCAATATTGTGACATATATGATATTCATTAAAAATATTGAATCTATCTTAAAATGAAAAATATTTGAAGGCAACATCTGCTCTGCAACGTCCATGGCAGATCAACAATGGGATCTTGTAAGGTTTCACAATATATCACTTATGTTTCTACATTACATTATATCAGGATAAATAATATCTTCACACCAGTATTTTGATATGTATATTGTATCACCAAATACTTGCCAATTTACACCCAACTAAATATAACCTATTTACATAGTATGTAAATTATATATATGATATAACATAAATATAACCTCCACCCTAACTTGGGTGGAGGTTCAACTTCCACCAGAAAATCAACCAGAGTCATAAAGGAATGCTTTGAATGAAACATATCAATGCAGTATAATTTGTTCAGCTTGCCTGGTTAAAGTCCAGATCTAAATACGAAAGAGAATATGCAGCAAAAGACACACATGATTTGCAGCTAAAGCTGCGGCTGTAAGTGAGAAGTGACATATTGATTTGGGGGGGTGAGGTGTTAGGAAAGATAATTATTGCACTTATCTCAGTTCTAAGAATTCTGATAAACATGTTTTGTGCTTTCTTTGTCGGTCTATCAACAGAATCACAATAAATACTTTGAGATGTGTTTTACCATAACACAAGTAAGAAAACTTCAAACTATATTAAAACATTTGCTAGACATAATAACCTAGTGTTACTTTGTTTCATGACAGCTTTTTAAGGACAATGGCAACTTTCTTGGTGTAAACTTACTTTCCACAGAATCTTTTGATAAGCCAAACTGGGAGTTATTTACTAAATGGTTACCCTAACCCTATATTCACTCTACAGCTAATTTTTAACCTAAATATCAAATGTACGTAAATGATTAGAAGGGAGATTAATCCGGCATTGTAAGTGATCAATACTCATGAGGTGATGTACACCATTTTTCTTTCTTATCTCATGTTTGTACATCTGGTTTCTGTTCCTCTTCATATGGGGAACACTATAAATACTTATCTCAACTTGACCATTTAAGTACAGATAAAGGTCAGGATAGATTTTGTTAACAGTAAATCTTTTTTTTCTTCAGAAAGGTTCAGGTCTCCTGTCCTTTTATGGTTAAGTGTTTTTTTTTCCTCTTCTGAGAACTCCTCTGTAACAATGATTTATAAACTTTGATCGATTTGGTTCTTGACAGATTACTTATGTTTTACAGTTCAATTTCCTAGAATAGAAAATGGCACAGAATGCTCTTAATATAAATATAATAAACTATAAATCAGTAAAACTACTAAATAATATATTTTTATTATTGTAATTAGATGATTTTTTTTAATTGATAGGATTTTATTTTAATATTGCTATATTGCTGTGAGGTAAGATATTCTGTCAGAATGAGGCTGTAAATGTTATTTCAGTGTTGTTTGAGGGCATCAGTGGTAAATCAGCTTGTATTACATTGGTGGAGTGGTGTTAATTGTGCTTATTAATCATGTGTCTATCCAATTGCTTAAAATAGATTCACATCCTTTACGGTACCTTCATGGTTCTTTCTCTGGTACTGCTAATACAAAATAGGAATTATCTGATTCTTACAATGCACTCCTTATTTGATCAATATCTTTTAAGCAAGTGACAACAAAATGAGAACCTGTTGATGTCTGCAAATGAGTTGCTATTAAATATCTGGAGGAGTGTTGATATTAAAATATGATTGTCTATTTTTCTGTATTTTTAAGCATATAAAATAAAAAAAAACTTCCATCAGAAATGCAAGAAAAAGCTAATCAAATCTCACTTCACTTCAGACAAAGGCATCATGAAGTCTGCTCTGAAAGTCTTAGGCGCTTTTACCTTTTTGCATATCTGCTTCTCTAGTCCCGTGCGTCGTCCAACCAACTGGCTCAGACAATGCCGGGCCTCCACGAACATCTCCATCACAGCCTTGGAAGTCCTGCCAGGAGGAGGCTGGGACAACCTTCGTAACCTGGACATGGGTCGAGTGATGAACCTAAGCTACTTTCAATGCCAAACAACTGAGGATGGGCTCTACTTCATCCCAGATGAGGTGTTTGTCATCCCACAGAAGGAGACTGGCTTGGAGACCAACTCTGAGATAATCAGCTCCTGGCAGGAGCAGAAAAGCACCACATCTCACTCCATAAACTCGGACGTATCATTCTACTCCATCCTTAATGGCAAATTTTCTCTAGAGAGCACAAGAATGAAATCCCATCAAGTCAAAGATTCATCAACAACAGCCAGAGTGCAGGTAAGTTTTTCATTTTAATTTAGCTGTGTTGTACATAAACAGTACAGTAAAACGTTTTTTTGTAGTTTTTAATGCAGTACCTTCAAAAGGTTTTCAAAACCCTTTAAAATTTGCACATTTTGTCAATATGGCAAAAAAACTGTCCATGCAGTATAATTGCAAGTATTATTTTATTGTATTATGTGATAAACTAACATTGTTTCAAATCAGAATCTGTAATATCTGGCATGCATACATTAAACTACTAATTTATAAAGACTTTCATTGACAACAAGAAATTTTTTGGGATCTCTAACAGGTTTGCACCCGTACCTGATCATCAATAGATGTCAGGATGGACTGAGGATATGAAAAAACAAATATCATTATAGTTAGACTATTTGTTTAGGGTCATTGCCTTCTGGAAGACAAAATCCTAACTCAAATCCTTTTCAAACTCAACTTTCACATTTTTTATTAAGAATTACCCTGTATTTGTAGCTTCATCTACAAACCCACAAGTTCTGGTCCTGTCAAAGAATTCCTACAGCATGATAGTTCCATCACCTTTGTTAACTGTATAGATTTAGTGTACAAGGTGATGCACAGCAGGATTTTCCTGCTCATGTAGTGTTTTCATGTCGGCATAAAAGGTAAACAGTCTTTTAGAGTATCATTCATATATCCTCTCCCCCGCACATTACTTGGGGTCGGGAAACCTTTACAAGAGGCCACCAAGTAACTGTACAGGTGGAGTGAAAAAGCAATGCTCTCGAATAACGGGTCCTTCCTACCCTAATGTGGTCTTTAAATCTGGATCATAAGGAAAAAGATGAGATCTCTGATACAAGAGGCTGAAAGAAGTTTCCGCACAGGGTGAATGGGCACCCTCAGATATAGGGTGAGGAGTTAAGCCATGCAGGTAAGAATAGAACTGGGTCCCTTCCACATTGAGAGGAGTCAGCCAAAGTGCCTCAGACATCTTTTCTAGATGCCCCCAGGACTCAGGGAGGATGCTTAGAAGGCAGCCCATGACCCACACTCCTTCAAAATTGTTTGACCACCGATGCAACTTCTTTAAGATTTATTAAACTGCTCCGGTAAAATACATAAGGCTGACTACCATGCAGCTAGAGAAGGGAAAATTTTGAATTCCCAAAATTGATGTTATGGTTCTCCTCTTTTTGGGATTCTGAAGTTTTTAGTTTTCAGTTATCAGTTATTCTGTTTTGTTGATCTTTGGTTTATTTTTCATTATATTAAACCAGTTTGTATTTTTACTCTCTGTTGACCCCCTTTGCTTGCTCCCTTTCCCCTTCGCTTCATTCTAGTTAGTTCCAATCACACCTGCTCCAAATTTAGCTCATTAGCCCATCCTTTGTTCTGTTCCCCTGAAGCCGGGCATACACTGTACGATTTTTTGCCCTTTTCGGGAAGATTCTCCAGTCGTGCAAGAATTTTTCCATCGGGCCGACTTTCAGCCTGATTGTGCGTCGTGTAGTGTACAGGGGGTAATGAAAGGGCAATCAGCCTCTAACGACCACCTCCAAATCAGGAATCGTGAGATCGGGGGAAAATCAGACATGGCTTCTGGAGCGACGAGTCAGAGTAGCGCCATTGCACCATGGAGCCTAGTCGGATGTGGTTTTTAGACGTATTTAGACGTTTGTCATTACCCTCATGACAATAGGTGAGGGTGGGAACATAGATCTATTGTTTTTCGTCCTTCCTTTCTGATAATATGCTCGCTCGTATTGCTCAATCAGAATCAAATTATTCATTTTATAATTTTAAAACTCATAAAAAAGGTACATTGAAGTTCGTTGCGACTTATCAAGAAATTTTAGGGGTATGAAAACCTTTGGAAGACAGTGTGGACGGATCGCTAGAAATAACAAGTATCAATTGGCTAAGGCAATAAATATGTAAAAAAAAATGCAAGCTGTGCTACTTTCAGTCTGGAACATGAACAAATGTGTTGAAATATAAAATAAATGTTTGATTATACAGAACTGAAAATAATCTATATTCTGATTGCTTCTTTCAAAAGGTCCGCAACTTCATCTACACAGTGAAAGCCTACCCAGACTTCACACTGGATTCACGCTTTTCACAGCAAGTAAAACAAATAGGAGATGCAATTGAAAACAATCAGACAAGGAATGCAGACTATCTCTCTGAGAAGATGGTGCTGGACTATGGAACCCATGTTATCACCAGTGTAGATGCTGGGGCTTCTCTGGTGCAAGAAGACTACCTCCGTTCCTCTTATGTCTCAGATAGTGCCTCAGATAGTTCCACTGTTAAAGCTCAGGCTGGTTTAATTTTTTTTGACAAAATCAAATTTGACATTAGTAGTCAATCAGGTAAAGAAAGATCAACACTTGCAGCATATCAGTCAAACATTCAATACTCCATTATTAAAAGCCATGGAGGCATACCTTTTTATCCTGGGATCACTTTGCAGAAGTGGCAGGAAAGTACCAGGAATAACCTGGTTCCTATTGACCGTTCAGGATTTCCCCTCCACAGCATTATGAACTCAAACACTTTTCCTGATCTGCCAGAACCTACAGTGGGCAAAGTGGCCAATACAGTGAGCAAGGCAATAGAGCGCTACTACAAGATTAACACCCGTCCAGGCTGCGTTGACATCACCTCCAAGAACTTCAACTTTCAGGCCAATGTGGATGATGATTCTTGTGAGGGCCCTGCCACCAACCTCAGCTTTGGGGGGGTCTACCAAGAATGTACACCACTCAGCCAAGATGCAGGTCCACTTTGCGAATCACTTGCCCAGAAAAACATTGCAACTGGTGACTTCTCCTGTAGCTCACCGTTCTCCGCTACTTTATTACGATCAGAAGTGAGACAGCAGGGTTACACACAGAATTACTGCTATGATGTCAGCTATCCCTGTGGCTTTCTGGGATTGTTCATTTGTAATAGCAGAAACTGTGAAAATGTGTATCATGTTCGCTCTGCACATGTGCATACCTACTGGTGCTCTGTGAATGGACAAGCTTCTTAAAACTCAGGGTTTCTATTTGGAGGATTCTACAGCACTTCCTTTCAGAACCCCATAACCAAATCCAAAAGCTGCCCCCCAAACTTTACTCCAGTAAAATTTCTATCTGATGGCCAAACAATCTGTGTGAGTAGTGATTATGAAACTGGTACCAGGTACTCTGTACCATTCGGCGGCCTTTTCAGTTGTGAGTCTGGTAACCCACTGGCCAAAAACCTGCACAGATGCCCTCCAAAATTTAGCCAACACCTCGTAACAGTAAGTGATGGATGTGAAATTCTTTACTGTGTCCAGTCTGGACTTTTCACAGGGGGTGAGCTGCTACCAATCCATCTCCCTCCCTTTACTAAATCTCCTCTTGTCAGCATGCAAGCCACCAACACTGTGATGGTGATGACTGAAGGAGAGAAGAGCTGGGTCAGGGTAGGGCCCACTAAAGCGTGGAAACTTGTTGGACCACAGGAAATCCCAGAACTTATGAGAAAGTTCAATCCTAGACTGAATCAGATGTCGAGTGGGCAAAAGGCAGGAGTGGCATTTGGAGTGATGGGTTTGATAGGACTGGTTGTCATAGTGGCTGTGATTGTTGTTAGGAGGAGGAGAAGGTACTCTGGATTTAGGTCAGGAGGTTATCAGGAAATAGTTGAAGTAGCAGAGAGGGAGATGCCCACTGAGGAGACCTAGAACAAAATTGGATTGTTTTTGTTAATTTCTTCCATTTTGATCTCAGATGCTTTATGATTCTTAAAGCAAATTTTCACAAATTTCAATAATTCTTTTCTTGATTTCCACACCTTTCAGTTATTTTTTTGTTCTGTAAAAAAGGGAATATTTGATACCAATCCGAAAAAATTTATTTAAAGTAAGTATTTGTGCAGATTATATTTTGATTACACCTGAAAAACCTGCAATATTGAGGGAAATGCACAACTGTTTATTACCACAATAGAAGAAGACCTAAAGAGACGGTTGGCTCTTTCATTGTCATTGTGAGGAAAAGCTGAAAGGAAAAAGTTTTCTACATTTCTATGGATGGATCCCATTAAGTACCCTATTAATAGTTTTGTATAGCACATCTGTGCTAGCAGACCTTCTGACGACCACCATTCATTCATGTGCAGTCTGAAAGATGCTGTAACAACCGTAACATTCTTACCTACCGTACCTATATTTACCACACCTAAGATTGTGGTGTCTTTTGATTTTATATTGATTTTTTTAATTATCTAAGCTTATGGTTTAACTTTTTCTCATGTTCTATATATTATATAAGTAGGAAATTGTATAAGCAGACTTCTTTTGTAAAACAGCATATTACATCTGTGCATGCAAAACTTTGCATTATATAATAAAACTATGAAAGGATCTGTATAAAGCAGGTTTCGGCCCCATGGAAATGTTACTTTCTGAAGTGCACACTTCATTTTTAAACTTCATGAAGGACCTATTCAGCTCCAATGTGGCTTAGAAGCACATAAAAAATATAATTTAGTGTATATTGTTTACCCATTTTTCAAGTTCGTATTCTATGAAACTGTGTTTATTTTAACTTTACATGTAAAACATTTTATAAAAGTGCATCAAAGCAATACATCACTTCCATCTGAGTCACTTTTTTCCAAAAAACAAAAAACAACAACAAAAATACTACTATTAAGCTACTATTGTATGTTAATTGCTATTAAAATGGAGATGACTAACCTTTGAAATGTAATATCTGACTTCATAATAATAATAACAATGACAGCAGTAAATTAAATTTTTTTGTGAGTTGTACATATGAATGTTATGACTTTGATCAAATAAAATCTTGGAATCTTCTCAACAACAGTGAGACATCAATGCAGAAGCTGTTTTAAGTTTGTTTTCTTTTATGGATCATTGCTCATGGGTTGTCTTAAATATCTGAGTAAATGAGATGTTTTATTTCAAAGTCTAAAGTTTCTGGGGCAATTCTTAAAATAAAAAGTATGATTGACAAACCTTTCTTAAAATACAATTCCAATCTTTGAAGTACATCACTATAACTTTTGACTCTAAACATTTTGACAGCCTTTAGTTTTCAGGGTTAGCTGGAAATGTGTGTTGTGGTCTAACTTTAGACCACAACACACTAGGGCTAAGAAGTTTAGCAACAGTTGTTTAGGTTTAATTCTATCTGCCTGTGTAAACTGACTAAAAATGTGCTGAGGAGGATGGATGTCCATGTAAAAAAAAAACCATCAGCACTCAGACTACAGATTGCTCTGGTGCAAGCTGACAAAGTGAATTTAATTAATTTAGTTTTTTTAAAAGACTCCTTGACAGGTGTCAAAAATGTTCAGAGTTAAAGTCCAGGTGTCTCTGATTTAAGCCTGTTTTGTGGTTTTAGTTCTAATTGTTTTTGCCATGAAACATAAGGATGAATTCAGTAAATAGGAAGGCACTTTATACTCACCGCTAATTATGGTTAAGAATATGTAATGCTGTGAGCCCATTTGTCTGCCAAAGGCCCTAGGAACCTTGATTAAGTAGCATTCTTGGAAAAACTCTCAAATATGAAATATATGTCTGGTAGCTTTTCACAACATAAAATAATGGGTCATCACTGGATCTTTTAGTGAGATAATGATTATAAATCATGGCTAAACCAACACAGAAATATCTCAGAAGAGACAAAAACAACCCTCTTCTACATCCCATTCCCTAATTTGTACTGAGAACTTATCCTGTTTATGAGGAAACCACAAGAAGAGTGTGTGAGCAAGACCCTTAGCCCCACACTGCTCCCTGGGCGCTGCACAATGGCAGCCCACTGCTCTCCAAGGGGATTGGTTAAATGCAAAGGTAAATTTCTCCAATGTGAGATTAATGAAGCTCTATTATTATTATCAATCTTCTGTAATACATGAAAAAATTGTGTGTCCATCCACACCATTAACCTTGAATGTACCAGTACCTGTGTCCCCAGTGAAAACAGTTCTTTCTTGATGCAAATTTTTCACCTGCTAGATAATATTTGTCCAGCGGTTGTGTTTTCTAATGCCTATAGATTAAATTACTGCAAAAAATATTGCAAGAAATAGAGTGCAAACATTTATAAACAGGATTCTTTCATTATCTACTGTTAAAGTATTTATTTAGCTGTACGAACCTTTTTGCACAATGTGCATCAGGGCTATATATCTAATAGCATAATACTGTATTTATAAAGTAAATATGTGAGTGACCGTCTACCACAAGCGATGGTGGTTTTAAGAGGACAGAAAATATATGTAGGGTATAGAACGCAAAAACACAGATGCACTCGTCTAGGGCTGCTTTTTATGCTGTACTAATACAGCCAACAGTTGCTAGGCAGGCTCAAAAATTGGGAGGCAGGAACAGGTCAATTGACAGGCCAGAAACATAACATATATCTGCTCCTCTGTCATTTGAAGGCCAATTTAACATACATTAAACCTATTCTGAGCCATGTATATTACAAACTATAATCATCAATTTTTACGTTTTGCAATATTTTCCCCCTTAAATTGTTATTCTCTATGGATATTATTTTATTTCCTTCTTAAAACACCCTGATTTAAATATCTTTATAGTTTATAAGTACTTTGCATAATTTTGCATGCATAATACATCATATGTTATAATCGCTTAGTTTCTTTTCGCTTAGTTTTCTTTTAAATAATGGGTTGAATCCAAGCACATGCTGCTGTTTTTTTATTCTATTTAAATAGGCTTTCGTTTTTTAACAGTAATATCAGTAATTTTCACATTTTATTGAAGTGATTACATACATTTAATTTTGCTTCAAGGTCAGTTAAGTATTTTTGAATTGAAGTTCAACTTCTTCCCCGATGCCATTAGACAGCTGAATGTTGAAAAAACTCTAAAGCTTGTCAAAGACTCTGCATCAAACTGACCATATCAATGTGTTTTTTTGCACCATGTTTTCTTTCTCCCACAGTGTTTACATTTGGAAACTGCTGCACTTTAAGAAATGGATATGTCATGAGAGCTGTACAAAACAGAATTTTATCAGAATTTGTCAGAATGAAAAAAAATCAGAATCAAAAGCTGGAATAGACAACTTTCTTTTGGCCATGACAGTAGCAATGGACTACAGCTTTTCTTAAGCTTCTACAGTGATTAGTGTAACTCTGTTTTAAAGGGAAATTTCTCTGCTAATTTAATGAACTACAAAGGTACTAATAAAGGTATGGTTGGAAACAAAGTCTTTAAATGTACATTGTCTTTCATTTTGTGAGCTTGCAACAGGTATGCAACTTTTTACATGCAATGAGCCATTTTGCGGCTAAGCAAAAATCATTTAGAGCCGCAAAGTATTGTATGACTTAAAAAAAAAAAAAAACATAGCCTATTATTTTTTGTTAAATATCTGCCATGGGAAATTTGTTGCCATCTTAAACAACGTAAAGTTTATTTTTATTTTTAGCTTTTATGATGAGGAAAAAAATAAAACTATTCATAAATATGAAGCATGAATTTTCTCTATAGGTTTATATTTGATGTAAAAAAATAAAACACATATTTTCCAACTAATTAAAAGAAAATGGGCTTTAAAAGTTATTAAAACATTATTTTATATATGACTTAAATCACTTATATATATAAGTGATGGGTTAATGAGGCATCTTGAAGCGTCGACACATTGCCAAACTGTATTGATGCTGCGTTGATTCTATTTCACAGAATACTGACACCTGCTGGACATTTAAAGACACTACAGGCAGCTTATTTGATAGACTAAACTAAATTGATTTGATAACCTTGGACAATGATAGAATTTAAGTTATTGTAGGTTACATTGTATTATTTCATATCTATGTTTAAATTGAAAATATCCTTGATGTTTTTAGGTGCAGCCAATAAATAATATAAATATATCATAACGTGAAAATTTATGGGAAAAAATTGAATAAGGATGCTTGTGGACTAGGATTTTAAATCATATTTTAAAACAATAAGTACAGTAAAAACAGTAGATAAACTAAGTATCAATTTAAAATTTACTTTAATTCAGATAAGCTGAGAGATAACTGAGAGAAAAAGGATGACACAATGTGAAAATGTAATTAAAAACCCAACAGCAGAAATGTTCCTATTCCTTTTAGGCTGCTCCAAAAGTTTTGATAATTTTAATAATGAAGAGCAAAACATGAGACATTTTTTTAGCAGATGCATCATGTTGACAGATTCGTTTTTAAACAGTTTAGTGAGTCAGTTAGAAACAACTCCTGGATCGGTCACATGACTTTCTGGAAACGACACACGCACAGATACAGCTCTATGAAGCTTCTGGGATATTCATTTGGTTAGGTAAGTAGCAGAGGGGGTGCACTACAGGGGCAACAACGAGACGACTGTTATGTATGTGATATAACAATATATTATTCAATGGTACTATTTTGTGTTCTATGTGGAAGAACACCGAATATGGTATCAGCGCATTGATCTCATTGTGTTCTGAAAAATATGTTGAATAAAAAACGAAGTCACATTCCACTGAGATTCTGTTCATTCTATATAGTTAAGTTATGGAAAGAAACATAACAACGACCATCAAAACAGGAATGGTTTTGCAGGTGGAGGCCACTGACATTTTTTCCCCTCCTCATCTTATCTGACTCTTTTTCACCAGTTTTTTTTTTTTTTTTCACCTGGACCCTACAGAGGTTGCATAGGCAGTCCAACTCCTCCAGGATGGCACATCAATATGTCCCATTGCTAGAAGGTTTGCTGTGTCTCCCAGCAAGAGATTCCAGAAGACAGGTAGTTACTCCAGTAGAGCTGGACAGGGCCGTAGAAGGCCTTATTGTAACCTTTAGTTCTAACGTTTTGTATAAGGAACATTCTGTCCTGTAAACAAGTTTCTTTAAAGAAGCTTTAAAAAAGTCATCACCTCTGACTCTGAGCCGCTTTTCTTCTGAGTGTGTTTAGAGTAGGGTCTTCAAATGTGCTTTGCTTTTGAAAAAAGTATAAAAAGACAAGATCAATCTTTTGTTGCTTATTGAAACAGTATCTCATCTTCTTTGTTGATAACAAATTACCTAACAACAGAGAATAGTTAACCTTCAATAAAAATGATAAATTGTGAAAAATTGTAATTGTGAAAAAATGTATTCTCAGTAGCTAACATATCATTAGCTAGTGTTCACTGGCGACAATATACAGTAGTTTTTAAGTTATTGTGCATAATCAGTTTGGTTTCAGCTTTTTCCTCAATAGACTTAGCAATGATTAGCAATTAAACCTTGGCTGAACGCTTGATTTTTCCTCTTATTCATTACAATTATATGTTTAAGCTTAAAATGCACACACAGGTCCTATGTTTATTTTTTCCTTGATAAGTTAAATATTACTACCATTAGAGGTAACAATTTTCTTGGAAATTATACTGTTAGTTCTCCTTTATTATGGTATTTAATTTTACTAAAGAAACATATAGATGCATATAGATAAACATATATATGTGTTTAAACATCAGCCAATACAGGCTCATACCTGGAACTTGGATTGAGGAAAGGAACCTAATGAGACTTGATAATATGAATAAACTCCTCCAAAATGATTTTGCAATAGTTTCTATACTTGCTATAGTTTGTACAAAAAAATGACTTAAATATAGCCATTGAATTTGTGTTACTTCAAGATGCTTTTGTATCTCATGATATTTCATACAGCCATTTTATAGAATAACCCAGTAATTATAAATAAGGCCAGTACATTTTCTTCTGGACAAAATACTATTAATGGATTAATATAAAATTAGCTGATGAAAATTATGGCCTTTATGAAATGCTGCATTATGTATTTGTTGTGGCTTTTTATCAGTGGACTGTGAAATTATGATAGGTATGTTGCATAGTTTAATTTATTCAAACGAGGGAAATTTAATGTGCAAAAACATCAAAATTATTTGTTTTCCTTTCTTTTAAAAGGTTCGCAATTTGATCTACACTGTTAAAGCCTACCCAGACTTCACACTGGATTTCCGCTTTACCCAGCAAGTCAAAGAAATTGCAGACGCAATTGAAAACAATCAGACAAGGAATGCAGACTATCTCTCAGAGAAGATGGTGCTGGACTATGGAACCCACGTTATCACCAGTGTAGATGCTGGGGCTTCTCTGGTGAAAGAAGACTATCTTCGTCTTTCATATGTGTCAGTTAATACTTCAGACAATGTAAACATCAAATCACAGGCTGCATTCAAATTTTTTGATGATCTGAAATTTGATATTAGCAGTGAGTCTAGCCATCAAAGCTCATCCCAAGAAACATATCAGTACAACAACAATGTTCAGTACTCGCTAATTAAAAGCCATGGGGGCATACCATTCTATCCTGGGATCACTCTGCAGAAGTGGCAGGAAAGTACCAGAAATAACTTAGTTGCAATCGACCGATTTGGATTTCCTCTTAGCAATTTCATAAACAAAAACACTTTCCCTGATCTGCCAGAACCTACAGTTGGCAAAGTAGCTCGTAGAGTGATAAAAGCAATAGAACGCTACTACAAGATCAACACCCGTCCTGGCTGCGTTGACATCACCTCCAAGAACTTCAACTTTCAGGCCAATATTGATGATAATTCCTGTGAGGGCCCAGCCACCAACCTCAGCTTTGGGGGGGTCTACCAGGAATGTACACAACTCACCCGAGAAGCAGGTGTACTTTGTGATGCACTAGCCCAAAAAAACATAGGGACAGGTAACATGTCTTGCCGCTCACCTTACAATTCAACTTTGTTGCGATCAGAAATTAGACAGCAGGGTTACAGTTCATATGAATGCCACACAGAAAGGGATGATTGTTTTTTATTCTTTAATTGTGACAGGCAGGTTTGCGGCAATGTGTATCGTGTTCGCTCTGTTCGTATAGATACCTACTGGTGTTCTGTGAATGGATTAGCTCCAGAATATTCTGGATATCTGTTTGGAGGAATATACGGTCCCTCCTTTTTAAATCCCATCACTAGGTCCAAAACCTGTCCTCCAAACTTCATCCCAGTAAAGTTTCTGTCTGATGGCCAAATAATCTGTTTAAGTAATGATTATGAAACTGGTACCAGATACTCTGTACCATTTGGAGGTCTCTTCAGCTGTCAGTCTGGTAATCCACTGGCTAAAAACCAAAACAGATGTCCTCCCAAATTCAGTCAACACCTCGCTACAGTAAGCGATGGATGTGAAATTCTTTACTGTGTCCAGTCTGGATTATTCACAGGAGGTGAGCTGCAACCAATCCGTCTTCCTCCATTTACCAAACCTCCACTTGTCAGCATGCATGTTACAAACACAGTGATGGTGATGACTGAAGGAGAGAAGAATTGGGTCAGGGTGGGCCCCACTAAAGCATGGAGACTTGTGAAGCCAGAGGAAATCCAGAACCTTGCTCGAACATTCAACCCAGGATCAAATCCAGGATCAAATCAGCCCTCTTCGTCTCTCAACACAACAAAAGATACAGGGACATAAGTAAGTCTATGGAAAATCACACTAGTAGTGGAGAAGTGCTCGGGTTTATGCCATAAAAAAAGGCTAGAAATATTAAACAAATATTCAGTTTACTAGCATGCAGAACAAGCAATTTGCTATATAAAGTACATTTTGACAGATTTCTCATATGGGAACAGATTAGTTAGAACATGTGAGGGATTTTGAAAAAAGAAACACGCGTAAACAAACTAAATCAGCTACTATCTGATGTATCAGTTTGAAACCCTGCACTTGAAGGAAAAAATGTACAAGAAGCTACTTGGTGCTATTACAGAAACATACTGATCACTCTAACAAGCTGTAAAAACAGATGACACTGTCTAATTTATCAAGATAACAGCTCACTATTAGCTATTATAGAGAAAAGCCTTTTCAGGTTAGAGCTGGCTATAGATGCAAAACATCAACAACATAAATCCATCCATCCATTCATCCATCCATCCATCCATCCATGTTAATGGCAGTCTACAGGTGAGAGGCGGGGTACACCCTGGACAGGTCACCAGTCTGTTGAGGGCAACATAGAGACACACAGAGAGATAAAACCAAGCACACACGCACTCACACCTTAGGACAATTTAGAGATGCCATTTAATAGTCATGTTTTTGGACTGTGGGATGAAGCCGGAGTACCCAGAGAGAACCCCTACATGCACGGTGAGAACATGCAAATTCCATGCAGAAAGACCCCGGTCCGGGAAACGAACCCGGAACCTTCTAGCTGCAAGGCAGCAGTGCTACAAATTTTAAATATGACTATTAAATAAGGGAAATAATCAGGCATTTAATGGTTTACTTGGCAATATAACTGCATGTGGAGAATAAGAGGTGCACAGTGAACTGCATTATAGCACTGAATCAAGTCCTTGGAAAATGTTAAATTGTGGTGACAAACGAGCCTTTACACAATATAGGGGATTCAAATAATTAGTGGAAATGCTAATAGAAAGTCACAATGTCTCAATAAAATTTATAGGATTTTTAATAAATTTCTGTTTAAGAAACAGTAATTAACAGCTGTCAAATTTTTATTGCTATTACATGAATACATATTTGATATCCAGCAATAATAGCATTTATAAGGTTTTTCTACAATAGGTATGTGATAAAAACTTAGGCACAGAATATATAAATGCTAATCCTCCTTGACTTTACCAACACACCCACACACATTCCAGTGACAAGCATAAATAGACAAAAGCAAACCTGGCTTCATGTTTTGTTGTGAGGCTGTCTGTGCACAAAGACCACAATGGAGACATTTTAAACAAACAGGATCATCAGCCATACAGCTACATACATTGTACACACACACACAAAATAGCCCCTGAACACTAAGACAAACATTTACGGCAGAGATAATAAAACAAAATGCATCTCCTCTCTTGTGACAGCATAAAAACTCTCCCTCCCCCACACAACCAAGTGCCAAGAAACACTGTACAAGGCTGGCTGGAATTTCCAGAACTGGGTCTTGAGCATAAAAACAAATCCACTCAGGCAGAGGAAATTAGTAATGCTGAAGGTGAAGGAATGAGAAAATAGGATGGGTAGAGAGACAAGCAAATGCAGAGCTCCAACATAATAAAACTCCCTCCTCTTCAATATGCAAAGGGAAGAGTGAAGACTGCACACAGCAAGCTTGCAGCACAGCCTGCCAAAACTCACTGCAGACACGACGACAGGTTTTCAGTCTCTTTGCACTGCACTGTTTAGCTAACTGTACCATGGATGGAAAACATAAAGACCAGAACCAGACTAAGTAGTTAAGTTCGAAAAAAGAAAGGCGCAACTTTCTTGCTGCTGCTAAGAAGAAAGAATTTAAAGGAATAGAAAGAAAACAAGTAAGTAAAAGGTGCATGCGTTTTAGCCTTGATGGAATCTTTTAAAGGATTATCACTAAGGATCTGAAGATTATTACAAACCAAAATGTAAAGAACTAAAAAGAAACATTTGAGACATTGTATTTAACAGTGTTTAAAAGCAAATTAGTTTTTCTTGGGCTTCTTTGTGTTCCCGTCACATTTAGGTAACCATGCAAGCAGGGGGAAACCAGCAGAGAAACTTTTTCCTGACTGTGCTGACACTTTCGGTTACATTGGAGGCTTATAGAGCTCTAAGCTGTCGAATTGGCACTGGATCAGAGTGTGAGAAGGCTCCATTTGTCCCGGGCCACAACCTAGCAGGGGAAGGTTTTGATGTGGTGCGTCTGCGTCGCACAGGCGCTTACGTCATTAACGTCAAAGCTCATCTGGATGACAACCACACTTGTACACTGTGTCCAAACAGGTTTCAGAATGGACAGGTGATAACTGTATAACCTGCTTCTTGAATTTATGTTTTCTTTCCTCTTAAAATCTCCTCAGTTAAGTTGAAACTTTATATTGTTTTCAATCCAACCAATTCATTTTTTATTCCTCATCTTTAAACTTTGGTTAGATTCAGAGGCTTCCTGCAGCAGTCCTGGACTGGCGTCTCTTCAGCCGCTGCAGTAAGCAGCTGTCTAGTGCACTTCACCACTCTGTAGACTCCCTGCTGCGTAGTTCCAGCTCACTGGTTAACAACAACTGGGGTTTGGGTTTGAGCCTAGACAAAATCGGACAGGCTGTGCTAGGAGGAAGCCGCTCAGATTTGGCCAAGTTTGCACGCTCCCAGCACAGTGTGGACAAAGCTACATTTGCCATTCATGAAATCAGTTGCTCCTATTACAGGTAAACTAGTTATACATGTTTACTTCACTGTATTGTGTTTATAAATCTAATAAATAAAAAGGCTTTCCAGAACCTAAAATGTCAGACATTTATGTCAGCCTATTGGGAAACTTCTATAATTTTTAAGGATATATTTATGGCCTTAGGAGATTCCTCTAAATTATTAAAACATGTGGCTTAATCATATTCACTTTTGTAAATCTTTATTTCTCGACTTATTTTCTTTTTTTTTTTTCTACATCCACATGACAAGTGGCATAACATAGAGTCCACAGGGAATTGCACTGAATGCATGCTGTAATACAAACCTAGCAATGTTATCAAAATGCCTGCTTGTAAGCAGCCTTAAATACATTTTAAGTTTCAAAAATTTAAATGTATTAAAATGTATCTACATTTATTTGATTATTGTACTTTTGGGGCAATTAATTGTATTTACTGAGAATTTATTTATTTCTATATTTATTTCTTAATATGGTAGAGCTGGTCCTCCATATTAAAGTGCATTAAATCAATATTGAAACTTGTCACTAAAATGTGCTACATAAATAAACTTGCCTTGCCTTATACTCCAGGATTAGGGTATTTTGTTTATATGAACCCACTTTAATCCTTAATTCAGTGAAAACATTGATGCCTGGATTAAAACTATCCCTCAAAAACATTTTTAATAAGGTGACTCAAGTAAATCTAACTACGTACTACCCACCTCAACCAATGATAAACTACCCATTCTGCAAACTTTTCACTGCAGTACAGCATAATATAAAAAGAATAACTTTATAGCTAGTTAAAATAACACTTTAAGTTGAATAAAAATTCCTTTCACAGAATTATATGAAAACAACCCCATCACAAATTGTTTATACACAAAATTTTACTTTCAAAATAGACTATGTGTCAATGCTGTGACTGAAGGTCACAAGCTTGGCAAGACAAGAAGTTACAATGTTTACTGATAGGCTCTTTTTCTGCAGCTGATCATTGCAGCAAAGAGGTGAATATTCAGTTTGTTACTGTGTTACAGTTGAACGCTGCATGCCTTCTGTTTTTACAGCTACAGGCTGGCTGACCATCCCCAGCTGAGCTCAGAGTTCACAAAGCATCTGAAGAGACTCCCACAGAGTTTAAGCACATCCCAGAACAAAGCTCTGTACAGACGCCTCATAGACACCTATGGAACACATTACATACACCAGGTTTCCAGGCTTTTTCATTTTTGCACAAATTTTACACATGTTTTGATTGCATTTATAATTCCGTGTTAAAGTAAAAGTTAAATATACTGCTGAACGGTCAGTTTCTATTCTCTTGTTTCTAGGTGCAGCTTGGGGGTAAAGTGAGGCGTATTACTGCTTTCAGGACTTGTCTGGCTACACTGAAGGGCTTTTCAGAGTCAGAAATCAAAAACTGCCTGAATCTCGAACTCCGTATGGCTCTGGGTTTTCTACCTGGCAATGCATCTTTCTCTAACAAGTGTGACAACCTTTTGAAAGGGAACATGAGCATGGGCTTTTACCAGGGCTTCATGACTCATAAGATTGAGGTAATCGGAGGGGAGAGGTATTTTCCTGACATTCTTTACCAACAAGACCCCTCAGAGTCATACCACAGCTGGATAAACAGCCTTCACAACAACCCTGATGTAGTTTCCTATGCCATCTTCCCCCTGCATCATTTGGTGGAGGACAGTGAGATCAGTGAAAACCTGAGAAGCATGGTCACAGAGTACATAAAAGAGAACCAGCTGGAAATGGAGCAGCTCGGCCAGAAGAACTGCTCCCCAGCTCCCAACTTGGATCACAATTGTTGTCCTTTACGAGCCGGAAGAGGAACTCTAAGGCTGGAAATCCACAGAGCTGCAGGTCTGAGGGCTGACACCTTCACAAAAACAGACGCATACGTAAAAATATTTTACACCGGCATGTATGAAGAGACCGAGACTGTGATGGACAACAACGACCCAGTTTGGAACGCCACTTATGATTTTGGCTCAGTGGAACTGGGTCAGGAGATGAGGTTCGAAGTCTGGGATAGGGATGTGCTTTACAATGACAGAGCAGGGATATGTATCATCTATCCTGAGAAAGGAACCCATTCTTTGAGCTGTCAGCTCCGAAAAGGTGTTCTCTATTTTACCTACGCCGTCAGCTGCGATGCACATTTGACAGGATTCAGGTGTGGTAGATACTCTCCACATGCTGAATAAAAAACATGCTACTGTATCTTCAAATCTGCACTGGGCATTTTTTTTCCTTTTTGACAGAGTTCTTCTAAACTGCATATTATATATATAGTAATTTCACTTATGCAGATGGTAGCATATTCCAGGGCTTTTCCACTGAGCTCATTATAGGTGCCTGCAAAACAAGAACAAGATGTAAAAGGCTGTAGGTATCAGTTGTATTCTTATTAAATTCCTGTTATAATACAAATATGCCTTTCATCTATTCATAATCCTTTAGTATAGATGGATGTATGAAATGTATTTATTGAGGTTTTGTATACACAGGCTGTGCGCTGGTGGCTGGTATTTCCTTCCCCTTTCAGACACTGCAGCATGTGGGGAATCACGTAACTTCTCTGATCCAGTCAGAAGCATAAACAAAGAGAATGGCAGATGTGCCCAGTGAAGAAGCGTCTAACAGCTGTAAAAAAAAATTTAATCTGTTAATACTATGGAGATGAGCGAGAGCAGAGATGATGCTGAGCGTGCAGAGAAGAAGTCAAGAGAGCGCTGTCAGAGTTGAGCATGCGGCCGACCGGTTTTGAGTGAGGGCAGGGGTGCCTCCAGGAATTTGGAGCCCCATGAAAGACATTGATATTGACTTTTACCCCCTATACGACGCCCCTGAGTGAGGACGTGGGAGTTTAAACAATGCACATTGTTCTCACTGCATGCTCAGTCCGGTGAGACCATAATTACCTCATAGATGTTGAGCAACAGCACACGAAATGCAAAAATTGTCTGAAAACTGCAGGGAAAACCCAAAGTAACATATCCAACCTCTTCCACCACCTAAAGCACAACAGCACTTTTGAGTTCAAAGGTGTATAAAAGGCTCCATTACCTTTGCGCAAAAATGTTGGCAAGAGAGGTAAAATTGTTCTCCTGTTCCATGAGACTTTGTTGAATCTTTAAACTTATATGGGTACAAGACTTAATATTTGATTGAAATTCATATATAATGCAATTTATTCAGTAAATAAATTATAAATGGCAGGGAGTGGTGGTCTAGTGGTTAGGGCATTGTGCTTGGAATTCAAGCCCCACCCCCAAAAACTACCAGTCTGGCTCTGTGAGCAAAGACCCTTAAGCCCACACTGCTCCCCGAGCGCTGCACAATGGCTGCCCACTGCTCCCCAAGGGGATGGGGTAAATGCAGAGAGTTCACTTTGTTGCTCTTTTTTTGTGACAGTGTAATTCCAGCTCCAAAGCTGGAAAATGAATCAGTTTCATTTTCTGCACATGCCATTATCACTGAGAAGAGCCGGAGCATTTATCGCGATCGAGGTACAACTGCCGAATTTGAGGTAATATTGATTTGAGGTCGTATCGCCCAGCCCTAGTTCTGAATATTTTTTACTTATTGCTGTATTCACATAATGGTGTCTTCATCTGACCTTGTGTCTTGGTTATCAAACTGTGAAATCAGCTGCTGCTCCGAGAATTTTGGAACACTTAGAAACAAGGTATTAAGCTGTTAGTTCAGAATGTTATCAAAGTCTATACCAGAGTTTTTCAATCCTGGTCATCAAGGCACCCTGCCCTGAATGTTTTAGATGTTTCCCAGCTTTCACACACCTGTTATCCATTGATAGCAGATTATCAGGCTTTGCTGAACTGCAATCATCTGAATCAGGTGTGCTGAACCTCAGAAACATCCAAAACATGCAGAGCAGGGTGCCTTGAGGACCAGGAATGAAAAACACTGGTCTATACCATACCAACTTTATTTATGAAGCACTTTATGCATCAGACAGGACCAAAGTGCCGTACACAATCATAAAATACAATAAAATTATAAAATAGAAAAAAAAAACGAGTGTAAAATACTTATTAGTATACAAACAGAATAAAACAAAGTAAAACCTCTCAAATTGTGCCAAAATCCAAGGAAAAAAGATGAGTCTTAAGAAGGGACTTAAAAATAGCAAGAGAAGAGGCCTGTCTTATGCTCAGAGGCAGATCATTCCATAGCTTAGGAGCTGCCACAGAAAAAGCACGGTCCCCCTGAGCTTGAATTTTGTCTTTGGGACTCTCAGAAGCAACTGATCAGCTGACCTGAGGGAATATAGTTTCCAGTCTTTTCATATACCCACATTGATCAGGGTTAGTATCTCACTATGTTCCCATGTCCATTGTCTTCTTGTTCCAGTAGTCCTGTTTCCTCAATATTTGGCGCAGACATTTCTTAATTAGTGGGCAACATTGGAGATGGTATGGTTCCATGTTTATTCAATCTCATATTATCAGGTAGGATCCCAGCCTTAATGGTCTTGCCCCCAGAACAACACTGGATGATATCAAAAGCCCAAGATACATATGTTCCATGCGGGATTCAAACTACAAAAAAAATTGACCACTTGATTTTTGTTTTGTAGAAGTAGGTGAGCGACTAAAACTGGAAGTCTGGGATGACGAGCAAACCCCGACCTATTAGGGATATGTTTGGACAGTACTTCTAAAGGAAATCACTCTTGAGGCTGTACTCTGAATCATGGAACTCTATTACAGCAGCACTATTACGGTACTTGTAATCCCTACTTGACAGGATTAGAGTAAACAATATGCCCCAAATTCTGCATCTGTGCATTAAGACAATTATGAATGGAATCAAGTCATGTTTTATACATCCTTGGCATGTTTTTTAGAAACCTTCAGTCATTATATCTCACCAGATTAAATACCTAGATAGACTTAAAGAAAATAAATCTATTAGGTAGAAAAGATTTGTGTATCCATTTTATTATTTTATCTTTGTGTAAACTGGAAATGAAATAACGCATTTCAGTTGTTTTATCAACTTCGACAAAATGTAAAAGAAAAAAATGTTTCTGTTAAACCTTGAATCAGAACAATTTCCTGCATTTTTATTCATCCAATTGACCAGTACCTCACTACTGCATGGCATTCTGAATTGAAAATGGCAACAACAAAAAAAACACAAGTAATGAACTATCAATGATTTTGCTTATGTTTTTAACCTTTGTTCCTTCATCCGTCGCAGCAAAATTGATGAGACTGTTTATGCATATATGGTATTTTTTGCACTATACACATACACTGGACTATTAAGGTAAAGGTCATCTTGCTACCTCCAATTCCTTATTAATCCATTTAAGTTAAACTTATCTTAAAGTGCACAAAATACAGTAGTCAAAGTCAACTTCTTCAGATCAAAGCTCCAAATGCTTAAAGGATGAAAATTAAGCTAAGACTACATTAGCCAATTGAAGTGAAATGTTTACATACAAGACAAACTCGATAGAAGGACAAATATTTATTTGAAAATGTATCATATGTTCAAACACGAACCTGGACACACACAAACAGTTTAGGAAATGATTTGTACAGTAACAAGTGTACACTTACAACACATTGGCCCCTAATACAGTACACAGACAGCTGCCTTGTGAAAGCATAAGTGTTTCCTGGCTGAAAATACTTAAAGTACGAGCAGCATGCTTAAAAAAGCTTATTAAAACATCCAGCTTGCTCAAGCATTTACCGCTCAGAAAAAAAGGGGGGGAATCTTAACAGCTGATGGTAATTTTTAGTTAATGTTTCAATATTTAACAGTTTTGGTCAAAAAAGGTGCAAAATGATCTCCTTTTTTGAATGAATAATGACGGGCTTATGTCAAACTGAAGAACTGCAAGTTTTGCTTGGCTTGCTTAAATAGGTAACGCATACAGTGCTTTGTAATCAAAAGGCTGTTAAAACATGGAAAAGACTGCAGGTAAAAATGGTGTTTTAGGCACAGTTACCAGGCTGCAGGGCTCATTTAATGGCAGCATATTGTTTGCATCAAACTGCCAAAAATCTTAAGCCTTTCAGTTCAGTCAAGTTTCAAGGTTGATGTGTTTGTGTTTCACAGTCCCAGAGAGGCTTTGAGCAAAGTTGCCATATCTTCAGGTATGGTCCCTTCACCATCTGTAGAACAATTGATTAGCACACCATTAACCCATTTAATAATAAATATGGAGTTTTCCCCATCAATCTTTAATTAAATCATCAGCATATCAGTCTGCTACTAACCATTTTGACAAATATCTTTTTAGTTCACAAATAAGCATTGGAAATAAATTGTTACAGGGATAAAACTGATGTCAAACTGTCTTGTGTAATTATACAGGTGCTGTCTTGGTTGCACTAGGATGCAAAGTGAAACATAGTCGCTTTTATTGCTTTATGCAGTATTGCACAAACAAGTCGACTAATATATTAAACACCTGTACACATTCTCTTACCTTGGTCAGCAGTCGTCATGTCTTGTTCTAGCTTCAGCTTCTTGTGACCGAGCTGCAGGATGCAGTCCTCTATGCTGTCCTTACTGATCAGCTTTATCACCTGTACAGTCCTGCCAATCACAGAGAAATACAACACCAACTGAAGATGCTTTTCTTTGAATGTCAGTAACTGTTGACTTTAGGTAAAATATTATTAAAAAGGAAAAATGTTTTCTGTCCAGCTGCTGCCAGCCATTCTAACCTGGTCTGGCCGACGCGGTGGCATCTGTCCTCTGCCTGTTTGTCGTTGTAGGGGTTGAAGTCAATATCATGCAGGATGACAACATTAGCAGAGGTGAGGTTGATGCCCAGCCCTCCGGCACGAGTTGATAACAAGAACACGAATATGTCAGGGTCTGTGTTGTACTCATCAATCAAAACAATCCTGCAGGAGAGAAATCACCACCATTGTATAATTCTGTCTGTTTGACATCAGTTTTATAAAACTTTAGCATCTAGAGAAATAGCCTAAATACAGGTATTGATTTAACAAAAGGGTTCAATAACATTGCAAATGTGACCTCATTACATAAACTTTAAAGGGGAACTTTGTTTTTTTTTTTTTTACATTGGGCCCTTGATTTTATGTTATTACATCATGTTCTACTTACCCATATAAGTTTAGTGTCATTTGGAGCTGTTCTGAAGATATTCCGTTAGGTTACATCCAATTAACGTCTTCCTATGGGTAAACGACTTGAAAGCACAAACTGAACTGCTTGTGATTTATCATTTATGGTACGCAAGCATTCATAAAATGTAGGCGAATCACTGTCCCCCAGACATCCGCAATTATATTTTTTATATTTATATGTTTTAAAAACAAAGTGGTGCGTGTATGACATCATCCGCGCGTGCCAGCTACTGTTCATTCATTCTGTCCACTGAACTGCTGCTAGTTTCACTCACATGCCTGAAAGATGTCTAGTGCTACTACCACAGATGATCTCGCTCTCAAAATGGAATTGAACGATTCAGATTAGCTAGCCGAATAAATATATGGAGCAGACCGTAGCCACCTGTGGCCCGGGCTGCCTATTACAACTCCAGTCCGGAGCATGGATGACGTCATACACGCGCCACTTTGTTTTTAAAACATATAAATATAAAAAATATAACTGCGCATGTCTGGGGGACAGTGATTCGCCTACATGTTATGAATGCTAACGTACCATAAATGATCAATTATGAACAGTTCATTTTGTGCCTTCAACTCGTTGCCCATAGGAAGACCTGGACATAACAAAACGGAATATCTTCAGAACAGCTCCAAATGACACAAAACTCATATGGGTGAGTAGAACATGATGTAATAACGTAAAATCAAGGGGCCAATGTAATAAAAAAACAAAGTTCACCTTTGATCTAAAGTTTTGCTAGGGGTCATCGTTTCAACCGGTATGAAGGCTGCTCTATTGTTGCTCTTGTGCTTACATCAAACAGTATACGCATTATAAATGATAAATGGATAACCTGTCAGTCACAGTACCAAACATCAAGATAGAGATGATTTGCTTAATAACTTACTTAAGTTATAATAATGTAAACATGAACAATCCTGACCTGTCAGCGATGGGAGTGGATCCATCCAGCCTGACATAGCGATGATGATGATGTTTGAGGAACACTTCCAGGATGTCTAGCATCATGGTAAACTGACTGAATAACACCACTCTGTCTCCCTGTATAATGAGAGTAAAGTTTTAACCTTTTGTTGGTGTAAATCAAGATTATAGATTTTTGGAATTACACCAAATAAAGTATTCAGCGCATCTTAGTGACCTGTTTTTTTAGGGATACCAGCAGCTCTTTTAGGTGGTGGAACTTCCCTGAGTCAAGTAGAAGGCTGTTGTCAAGCTGGAAAGAGCTGATGGATGAGTATTGCTGACAAAGACGATGGAGCTCAAAGTCTGACATGACTTCCATGTCTTCCTGGATAAGAGCGGGGACGGCATCGTGGTGGGTTGGCTCCTGACACACAAGACGCAAGAGGAATAAGAAAGAAAATAATGAGAGGAGGAAAAAAAAGGAATTAAATACAAGAATAAATACTTACAAACATCACATTGATAAGCAACAGGTAGTTTACACCTCAGACAAAAATTGAGCACCAAAATAACTGAGGTTTACATATTTGGCTTAACAACAGATATCAAAGGTGAAAACAAGTCAAAAATCTCAGGACAGACCTTGAGCATAAGTTGGCTCATAGCCTGAAGCTTTTCTGTGGTGTAGTACTGTCTGTGAAGAAGAGGATGGTTGGCCATCTTCCTCAATTGCATCATAACATTGCACAGCTCACGCTCTGAAGACATGAATAAAAAACAGATGTTTGCAATGTAGCTACATAAAATGCCATGATAAACTCAAAGGAGTAAGCTGTCTGAATGAGACTTACTCTCTCCATTAGTAGTATTCTTTAGTTTTTTAAAGAGGGCCTCATAGAGAGTCTGCTGTTTCTCACTCATTGAGCAAAACTCAATCTTCTCTTCTTTGGCTGGCAGCTGCTTGAGCACCTGCATACAGAAACAGAACCATGTGTTTTAAGGAATATACCTTCTCAAAAATCTATGGGTAATAAAAAAAAAAATCCTTCAATAGGAAAACAACACTACATAAATGTCTCATTAATCTTATGTTTAGGAGCAGCTGAGATTTTCTTTCCATTTTTACCTAAAAGAGTTGCATCACTAATCAGCCAGTGATCACGATAGAGTAGTTTGGTCTTCTCTGCTTTGACCATCAGATCTTTTTTCCTGATCATTAAATCCCAAATCAAGGGCTGTTATGCAACCATAATGAAATCTTGGACACCAATATTCAGAAACGAGTTAAAAACATTTTTAGAAATCTCAAAAGTGAGCATCACTCAAAAATGAAAAAGAAAACATTTAATAAATAAAATAAATACACAGAAGACAAAGAAACAGAAACAAAACAAACGATATTCAAAATATCTTCAGAAAACAGTAGATTGATAGAACTTGATATAGTATAAAGTGCAGCAGTGCTGAAAAAGTCTGAAACCTGTTAGTGGTTTATTTTATTGTTAGAAGGGGTGATCTATCCTAGGAGGGATGGCCATGTTTTTGCTACCTTTTGGGGACAATTTCGCAGGAATATTCTACATTTTGGGGAATTAGGTATTTGTGTGGAGGAAAGCTTTATTTTTTGGGGTGGAGGACACGTTCAGGACCAAGGTATGAACTGGTTTTATGTTTAAGGTTAGCATGTGTTAGTAATACTTAGGGTAACAGGTAGGCCATAGAAATGGGTGGGAAATGAATGCAAGTCAAGGGAAGGTCCAAGGATAGTTTGGGAAACAAGTGAGGAGGGTGAGGTGTGGGCTGGTTGCCTTCATAGCTTTGGAAAAGAGATGATCAAAGTGGATGTAATTTGGGACAACCACCTTCTTCCTTAATAAAAGGGATTTTCTATTCTATTCTTTTCTAATTCCAAATGGATATGCAATGAGGACATCAGTTTCAAAATATGCCCATTTTCTTATTTCCCCTGTTTTAATCTTTGCTTCCTAAAGTGTGTGACCTTTAGCATTTTCAGCAATGTTATTCGTGTCTGGTGTGAGTATCTGTTTAATTACAATAAGAACTAATTTAATGGCTGGAATTAGTAACCACCTTCTAAAAACAGCTTAATAGCGAGCCAAATTCTAAAATAACTAATACCAATCATTCCCTCTGATCAACTCACCTCAGTTTTGACCCGTCGTAGGATAAAGGGTTTCATGATGAGTTTGGCCTGAGTAATTCGTTCCCTTTCAAATCGGCTTTGCTCATCATGAGATTTCTGTCAAGATAACATAAAAATAAAACAGTTATGCATAATCCTTTAGAGGTCATACAGTGTTTATGAATTTCAATGCATAGTTGGTCTACTAATCTTCTCCATATACTTTATTTTCCATTGTTTAAGTCACACCAGCATCTATATCCATTATAAAATAAAAACACACCAAAGGTAAATTGCACCAGAATATAGGTCACAGGTACATTCAAGTATACAGTCTTTGCATGAGAAGTTCACTGAAGCAACAGTGCCACCTTGAGTTTCAAGGATTTAGTTGACAAAATACACAAATGTGGTTCTGCAACAGATGTCATTACAACAACCATGTCACTTAGGGTGTTAAAAATGTGAAAGCCAAAACATAGGCTATGCCCTAATCACTATATAGGATACTATATAGTGGTAACGACATTTCAAATGAGAGTTCGAACATCTAGTGGATGAAAAAGTATAGTGAACGTAAAATTTCCCTGGTCACTAGACGAGCAGATATATCCCATAATGGTTTGTGAAGACAGCTACCAACAGCGGCGACAAATAAAGATGGTGCTGAAATTGTTTGGGGAGGCAGAGTCACGGGACCAACGGGGAGCAACAAGTAGTGATCCTCTATCCAAACGGTCAGTTAACCGAGTTCATTACAAAGTCCAACATAATAGCCCAATTTACACTACCCTTTTGGGACTGTGCCAAGAAATGTGTTGGGTGTAAATGGCATGCATAACTGAACTGGACCGCACCAGACACAACCAGACCACGCTAACATGGTACTAGTTAATGAATAGGGCTCGGCACGGTTCAGTTCTGGCTCAGTTCAGATAACAAAAAGCGCATGAGCAGACCGCGTCATCTCCTTACAGCCAGCCTCCGTAATCATAAAATTTCAGACATTTATAAAAATACAAGCTTCCCTACCTTGCCACATGATTTTCAGCAATTATTCTGCTTAGCAGTGTGATCAACCTCAATGTCTGTCATTGTTTCCTGCTTCTGTAAGCCCTGATTAGACTATTGTTTGTTGTATCTATTTCCCAAAAGCTGACTCTGACAAGTAAATTCACCAAAGGCTGCCTTCTTTGCCTGACTCTCCGCAAACTTCCTGAATGTTAGGGGTGTTGTCATGTTGATTTACTTGTTTACCTCTAAAGAGCAGTAGTGTTAACCTCTCCGGGGGGGTGGGGGGGTATTTCAAGTTTTGTTTCCAAAAAGTACCAACTCTTGGAGACGGCTTGTCTTGATAAGAGTAGAAACCTGGCCCTCATGTTGTGCACAGATTTGTCATTTGCATCTATGAAGTCTGGACTGAAGCAGATTTTTGGAGGGAGAAAAAACAGCCATGCGAGCAATAACGAAAGTCAGGATGACATATTTTATGGAGCAAGGACCGGCGGGCAGTTTCAGACGGAGCAACGGCCCGTCACAGAGCGGACAGCGGCAGCCGCAGCAAGGTAACACTTTGCTCGACAACTATGGTAGACGAAAACGATGTGCCATCTGTCAGAGCATGTACTGCACCGGGAAAATGAAGTAAAGTTGACAGAGGATTAAAAAGTGTGGAGGAATATATAATTACATTGTTTACAAAAGTAATGTCAGACTCAGAAAATTTTCTGACTTGACGAAGTCATCACTGGGATTAGCTATCATTGATACTGCATGCACACGTACAGTCTGTGGGGAAAAGTGGCTGAATAGCTACATGAAAAACCTGAGCCAATGTCAAATCGACCATCTACTCCAAACAGAATCTCAAAGTTGCAGACCTTTTAGATTTAGAGATGGTCAGATGGCTCAGAAAATTGAAGCTTCCAGCTAAGATTGAAGAAGCAAAATGTCAAATTGAAACCGAAATAGTTTCTGTTGATACCTCCTTATTGTTAAGCAAAATGTCCCTGAAAAGAGCAATAACTGTTTTAGACATGGAAAATGAAAGTTGTCATGTTTAAACATAACACCCCACTTGAGCTCACTAGTTCAGGACATTACTGTGTGGACATTAGAGAGAATAATGCAAGCTTCATAGACAATGAATCTGAAGTTCTCGTAGTCACAGTTGAAATGTCTGCAGAAGAGAAGCATAAAGTTCTTCTGAAGCTTCGCAAGCAGTTTACAGAGGCTTATTAACAGTTCTGGGAAAACTGAAAAAGACTGTCCAGTTTTTCTACAAAAAATTGTTTGAGATTGTGACATATGTCAGAAATATGTTATATGTCCAGACTTTATATGTGACAGGCGTGACCTATAGGGCGGCCGCCAAACTGCAGTGCCCATGACGCATTGCATTTCTGTTTCCATTGGCCTTTTAAAAACATGGAGTGACTCAGTCACGTAAAATTTCGTTTAATATAAGTTTTCTTACTTTAAATTAACTGAGAATCTAATTATATATTTTTCATTTATAAGTCACTGTGGGGTATAGGTCGTAACCCCAGCCAAAAAATATAAAAAGTGAGACTCATACTCCGCAAAACACGGTGCAGAGACTCAAAGTACAGCAAAGTAGTAGAAGAATCGCAGGAAATTAGGAAGTAGAATAGCGGTTTTAAATCCTCAGTACTTCAGCACCTTGGACAGCATCACAACAGTCCCTTTTAGTCCCTTGAGTATTTTAAGTATTGCTTTTGGAAAATATATCTATAATATAATATAGGGCTGGGCGATAATTCAATAACGATATATATCGATCCATAGACGTGTGGCGCAATAGAAAAAAAGACGGTCGATAAAAGTTCGATAAAAAAGAAACGCAGTTTTCCTTCCTTCTCATTGTAGCCTAGCATGTAGGTTTATGCTAGTCACTGCTTCCTCCCAACCAATCACAATCGCGGACCCAGGCACGCCGTCACCAAGCGCCGCCCTCTCAAACCACAACACAGAGCACATGAAGATGTGCAGCAAGGAGAGGCGGAGGAAATTGTTTCAAAGAAGGGTTTTTGTAGTTCGGCAGTCTGGCAGTATTTCGGTCATGGCAAGTCGGAGCAAAAACAAACCACCAAATCATCAGTAAAATGTGTCGGGAACCAGTGAAAACCAAGTCTGATAACACAACCAACTTTTTTTTTTTTTTTTTTATCATCTCAGTCGCTCACACCCGCAGGAGTACGAGCTGTGTAGGCCCCGGCGCGGCTCTCCTCCGAGGAATCTTCGGAAAATATATATATATTTTCAGTTCTGGGCAGTTTCCCACGTAGTTCTAACAATTGAGAGAAAAATGCTGAGGGGCCAGAAACTTCAAAGTAATAACTCAGGTTAAAGCAGAAAACGCGGGCGGCGGCGTTGGGGGGGCATATACACTCACCGGCCACTTTATTAGGTACACCTGTCCAACTGCTCGTTAACACTTAATTTCTAAGCAGCAAATCACATGGCGGCAACTTAGTGCATTTAGGCATGTAGACGTGGTCAAGACAATCTCCTGCAGTTCAAACCGAGCATCAGTATGGGGAAGAAAGGTGATTTGACCGACTTTGAACGTGGCATGATTGTTGATGCCAGAAGGGCTGGTCTGAGTATTTCAGAAACTGCTGATCTACTGGGATTTTCACGCAAAACCATCTCTACGGTTTACAGAGAATGGTCCGAAAAAGAAAAAACATCCAGTGAGCGGCAGTTCTGTGGGCGGAAATGCCTTGTTGATGCCAGAGGTCAGAGGAGAATGGCCAGACTGGTTCGAGCTGATAGAAGGGCAACATTGACTCAAATAACCACCCGTTACAACCAAGGTGGGCAGAAGAGCATCTCTGAACGCACAGTACGTCGAACTTTGAGGCAGATGGGCTACAGCAGCAGAAGACCACACCGGGTGCCACTCCTTTCAGCTAAGAACAGGAAACTGAGGCTACAATTTGCACAAGCTCATCGAAATTGGACAATAGAAGATTGGAAAAATGTTGCCTGGTCTGATGAGTCTCGATTTCTGCTGCGACATTCGAATGGTAGGGTCAGAATTTGGCATCTACAACATGAAAGCATGGATCCTGCCTTGTATCAACGGTTCAGGCTGCTGGTGGTGGTGTCATGGTGTGGGGAATATTTTCTTGGCACTCTTTGGGCCCCTTGGTACCAATTGAGTATTGTTGCAACGCCACAGCCTACCTGAGTATTGTTGCTGACCATGTCCATCCCTTTATGACCACAATGTACCCAACTTCTGATGGCTACTTTCAGCAGGATAATGCACCATGTCATAAAGCTGGAATCATCTCAGACTGGTTTCTTGAACATGACAATGAGTTCACTGTATTCAAATGGCCTCCACAGTCACCAGATCTCAATCCAATAGAGCATCTTTGGGATGTGGTGGAACGGGAGATTCGCATCATGGATGTGCAGCCGACAAACCTGCGGCAACTGTGTGATGCCATCATGTCAATATGGACCAAACTCCCTGATGAATGCTTCCAGCACCTTGTTGAATCTATGCCACGAAGATTTGAGGCAGTTCTGAAGGCAAAAGGGGGTCCAACCCGTTACTAGCATGGGGTACCTAATAAAGTGGCCGGTGAGTGTATTTATTTTTTATATTTATTTTGGTCACTTTTCTGGTCACTTTAGTTTATTCTTTGTCAGTATTTAATAACATAACTCAGGTCTCTTGAGTTATTTTTCTTTAAAACAATTCTGTTATGGTTAAAAAAGTTGGTTAAATAAAGATTTAATTCGAAGTCTGTGTTTGTGTTTTTTATTAAAATTAAATCATTTAGCAATATTATAAAAAGTCCAGGCAGAGCTGCACATAAAATATGGTTTCAAATCTTTTCAATAATTATCGATATCGATCAATATGCGTTTTTTTTAATCGATAAGCTTTTTTTCTATATCGCCCAGCCCTAATATAATATATATTTTTAAATGCAATCACCATCTTAAACTCCAAAATATGTAAGATGATGACCTGGTAAAAAACAAATCTACAAAAGTGGACTGCGAAAAAGGCCAAACTGAAGATGTCATCGTTAGGTGTGCTATATATTGAAAAACAAACTGATAGATGTATTAATTAAGCTAAAATGAGATACCCTCTTAAAGTTAGATGCTAAAAATCACAAAGGATACTTAACGTTACGCTTCCTAAATGGCTTAATAAAACCTTAACTGGAATTATGGCCAAAATGCATACTGACCATGGAAAACATCTTGGACAGCTGCATGGTGGAGCTGGAGAACATGGTGGGCATGATGAAATTCAACAGAGACATCAGCTCTAACAGGTTGTTCTGTAAGGGAGTTCCAGTTAGCAAGATGCGATGCTCAGCCTGCAAGAAAAAACAAGCAGCAACAAGTAGATAAGATTCTGGAAACACAAAAAAGCATGTTTCAGATGTACATGAAAAAAAAAAAGCAAAAAAAAAAAAAAAAAATTTATTAAAATGTAATATTCAACTTACATTGATGGACATTAGGTGGCGGTAGCGCAGACTGTTCATGTTCTTTAACATGTGGCCCTCATCAAAGATGGCATACTTGAGAGGCAGCTTACGAAAAAGGCTTCGATCGTTGTCATTTCCTATTGCCAAGTTATACCTGTAAAAGAAATAAAGGCAGATTATCATGAATCCAACACAACAGAACAAATCTAACTTATTTTTAAATTCTGCTTGCTGTTTGAAGTCATCATTTAGGCTGTTTGCTTACGTTGTGACAATGACATTGAAATCAACATCACCGTTGAGGATGTCATGTTTGAGGTAGCGGCGCTCTTCCACAGATCCTATGGATCACAAGGAGAAATGATATTTGAACCAATAATCCTTTGAATATCACCAAAATATTTTATACCATGAAAAATATTTTTTTAATCAAATATAAACACAAAATATATTTTTTACAAGAAGTCTACCAATACAGAAGAAAGCATGACTGTCATGTTCTCCTTAGCTATGTAATTTGCCTCATTGTTAGAACAAAAATATAACTATTAAGAAAGCACATATGAAAAAAAATCTTACCATAATAAATAAGCACTTGAAGAGCTGGACACCACAGCCTCAGCTCTCTGACCCAATTATCTAAAAGATGGAGAAAATAAAGCAACATAAATCACTGCTTTATAATCATTTTAGAGGCAACACCAGACCGAGTTTATATTATATATTTTATGTGCCAATGCCTTGTACCTAGTGTGGAGGAAGGCACAGTGATGAGATGAGGACCTTCTATTCCATTTTCATACAGCTGAGCCAGAAAAGCTATAGCCTGGATGGTTTTCCCCAAACCCTGAAATAGGTGGAATTGAATAACAGAAAAAAGGAAGTGGGTAGAGGTTTTGAGACAGAGGATATTACAAACTTAAAAAGGTAATACTTGAAGAAATTTGAAAAATGGTGAAAAAGGCACTGATATTAAAGTTCAGAACATAATACAAAGAACAGAGTCTCAGAACTTCAAGAACATTTTTTAAACATATAAAAAAATTATTAAATACAAGGAAAGTGATTTTAATTGTTTTGTTTTTTGTTTTTAAGCCCTTTATGGTCTTCGTCCGTTATGTTGACTGTACATTGCCCCATTGCCCCAGCAGAGCTCTCCGGGGTCCTGATGAAATGGTTCTGGATGTGTTTGTTCCTTTGTGGTTATCCCAACCTAAACTGTGGAGCAACTTGTCCCTCGGTCTGCGGGTTCTCACTGATCTGCACCGTATAAGTCCCGATTAAAGACTCATTCTTTTCAAACCGGCTTAGGACACATTGTTTTATGCTTATGATGTTCATTTTTTTTTCACTGTTTTTATCTTTCTGTGAAGCACTTTGGTCTTCCTGGTGTTGTTGTAACAAACTTTGATTTAATTTGACTACACAGAAATAAAGGAATTTTGAGAGAGAACCTAATCTATGTCTGTTTTTGTGCCTTTCGGGTCTATATCCAAAATTAACATAAAAGCCAAGAAGAAATCAAAGAAATTTTTCATTTGGGCTGCACCTCAGAAGGTAAGTAAGAGTAGAGTTGTCGAACTGGTTCCTTCAACATCAATTCAAGCCTAAATATTCAAATCACTGAATCCAAACTATTGCCTGCTGGTTTCTCAGCTTCCAACCTGATCAACAAAATCCAATCAGGCAGCAGTAATTAAGCTAATATTTCAAAACTGTAGCTCTATGTTATGTCTCATAGAAATCAAGGCTCCCTTCAGGGAGAGCGCCCCTGTTCTCAACTCAACATCAGAGGCACAGTTTACGCCACACTGGTGTGTAACCAAAGGTCATAACAAAACCATTTCTGGGATAACAAAACAAACTGTCTGAAGTTCTTCTTAAAAGTCATCATAATAAAGTAGTGGTCAACTTTCTTTCCAATTTTCAATATTCCAAAAGAAAAATCAAATAATAAGAAATATTGGTACAAAACTATTAAACAAGAGTAACCTTACCATTTCATCAGCGAGGATCCCGCTCAATTTGTGCTCGTTGAGAAGCATGAGCCACTTTAGACCAATCAGCTGATACGGTTTAAGATGCAGCCTCAAGGGGAAACAAACGAAAACGATACTTACTCTTATATACTCAAACATAAAATATATACAAGTTAAAGCACTTTAGTGAAAAAGAAAAAGATTTTAATATTCAAATGTTAAACATCCAAATCCTTAAGCCTTTTTGGAAGACAACCAGCTTCTAACGAGGTTTTATCCGTTTTAGTCGGTTCAGTTTATCAACAAATGCTTGTGTCTTTTTTTTTTTTTTACAGCTTCTGTGTCGTCTTAGGCAATTATAAAAGGCAACACTTAGATTTCTGTCATTTAAAAAACTAAATATATAAAGTATAATTAATATATTTTCTTTGAAAAATCTGCAAAACAAGTCGTTAGACCTTGCTTAAACATAATTGAAGACATTTCAGTTACCATTTTATATGAAAAAAAAAAAAAAACATTACTTCAAACTCACTCATCTCCATATAGTTGTTATAACACTGACACTTAAGCACACACACAATGTTGAGGAGTTTCCCCTTAAAACAGTTCAACGGTGAGCTGTACTTACTGGCTATTGAGTAAACTAGGCTGTTTTGTGGAACCAGTTCCTCTCTCCATCACTTGAGTGACCTGCTTAACCATTTTTGAAGAAATAGTTTGACATTTGGACATGAGTCCAAGGATGACCTTCCTCTCTTTGAGGACGACTCTGCAGCCATGCAGTAAATCATCAGAGAGTCCATTTCCTTTATGAAAGACATCCCACTGAAAAGGAAGAATATAATGTCATAGTTTAAACATGGATTCTCAGCATAGTGGGCTGCTACGCATAAATAGGGTCAATATGCAGATTTGAAAGTGTATCAGCCCTTTGACTGTTATCTGGGCCCCCTCCCCAATGTTTCTGTCCATGCAACTGCTCATTACGCTTAAAGTTAAATAGCAAAAATCCAGCTGACACGCTGAATTTTAATATTCAAAGCTTAATGGCAATGGAAACGGTGCTTGTAAATAGATATACCTCCTTATTTGGACGCATGTGAGAAACCCCTGACCAATGTGAAACCTGAACCCTTTAGACCAGGCATCCCCAACTTCAGTCCTCAAGGCCCGCTGTCCTTCAGCTTTTAGAGGTTTCCCTGCTTTAGCACAGCTGATTATAATGATTGCAGGAGACCAAAAGCCTGTTAATCAGCTTTCAATTAAAATCAGCTGTGCTGGAGCAAGGAAACCTCTAAAAGCTGAAGGACAGCGGGCCTCGAGGACAGAGGTTGGGGATGCCTGCTTTAGACTGTCAGAGTGCACTTGCGGGCAGATGTACACGTGTGATCACATTAACATGCTGAAGATAACTTTTAAAGGCCGGTGTTTTGGTGTCCAGGTTGGGAAGGATTCCTAAAGGACTGCTCTGTAATGCCAAACCGGGCAATGGTCAGAATATTTATTTTTCTACCTAATAAAATATAGCAAAACATAAAGGAATGGGCTTAATTAGAAACAAGCAAAGCAAAAAGAAAATGTGGGTGTAGCAGAAAATACAAATATTGCTTATATGCAGTGTCCACATCTGTTTAATCTCTATAACATGTGGAAAGATTTTTAGAATAGACAACATAAAGAATTTTAGGGGGGGTTGTCTGGGCTGCTGACTGGAACGGACCAAGCACTGGAACCGAGCAGTCAACTTGGGGGGCCAGTTGGAGCGACCAAACCCGACCCGTGACGGTAGCCTGGACACCGGTGGCCCTGTGGTGTCTAGGGCCACCTGTGTAACTGGGCAGGCCGATGGAAGTGCCACTAGCAAGGCAAGGCAGGCAGGGTTTCCGGACTAGCCTTGGAGCTGTCGGCTCGGTTCAAGTGCCTGGTGTGTTTCGACTACGTGTTGCACTTAAGTCAACCAAAATCCGGGACAATTTTGAAATTCCCCACTGACATTTTTTTTAGGTTTGAAAAGTAGGACATGTCCGAGAAAAAGAGGATGTCTGGTCACCCTACCATATCAACAATTTGAGTGAGTGCTTGTTGCTATGATGCGTCTTTGCTAAGCAGCTTTGCTCGTTGTAAACCAACCAATCAACGCACAGCTCATCTAAATATTCGTGAGCATACCATAAAAGGAAGAAAACCTGTCGTTTCATTCTAGGGCTTTTAACCAGGTTTGCATTAGGGCTCATAGAACAGCAAATATGCCATTTTTAGCCCAACCAATGTTACACACCCTATTCAGAGACCTTAAGGACCGGCATCAAATACCCTATATAATCATTCTATGACCCCTTTAAATGCATTCCCAAATAATAATTTATGATGAATAAATTGCACCGTTTAATGCTTTACTGTAAGAAACCAAAATATCTCACCAGGGATTCCCAGCTGTCATAGGGTCGGAGCTCCACTATCCTCTGGGCCTTTTTCACAGAGCATCCAGCAATCAGAGAAAGCTCATCTATTGTAGCATTCTGGAAAAATGCAACTATCTCTTTTTTTACATCCATCTTTTCATCGTCACCCTCAAGCTCGTCATCTGAATCCTCATAGTCGCTTGTTAGGATGTCCTCTTCGTCATCAGAAGTGACATCCTCATTGGAGGCCCTCGCTTTTTTCTTTCTTTCCACTGCCTGCTTTTTAGCATTGCCAGTATCACTAGAAAATTTGGACACAGCCTGGGAGGCTGAGGAGGAAGATGAAGGCATCGTGGTGGCATAGGTAGAGGTACGCTTAGCAGAAGACGAAGAAGACAACAGCCTTGGGTCCAGAGTGTAAATGCCCCCTTTTATTTTGGAGCTTTTGTCGTACTCTGTATCAGACTCGTCTTCACTGTCCTTTGTACCATCTGTACTAGTCCCATCTGTCTTTTCAATACTTTTATCATTACATGTTGTGTCCTTTGATTCCATGTATTCTTTAATTGACTTTTGTTTCCTTTTGTGTTTGGATTCTTCTAAATCAGAATTGGAACTACTATTATCTGTGAAAAGAAAAATGTTTGTTACTTAAGCCATTAAAAGGTAATCAAAATGAAGTTTAATTTCAGACAAAGTGTGCGGTGTACCTGTATCATCTGTACTGTTCCCATCTGTTTCAATGTTTTTGTCTGAGTTGCCCATGGTTGACACCCCTTTGCCTTTTGATTTTTGCTTTTTTGGAATAACTAAGTTACAACCGCTGTTATCTACCAATTATAAGAATGAAATAATGTTTCAGTAAATCAAAGTATTACTGAGCTCATCTGTTAAACGTCATCATTGTAAAAAGTTAAAATATGATAAGATTTAGATATTAAATTGATGGGCACCTGACTCAGAGAACATCTGGAGAACCTGCAGAGCTTCTTCCACATCCCAGTCATGTTCCTGAAGCACCATCCTCAGCTCCTAAACAAAAGAATTCAGAGGTTAAATGGTCTTATAACGTAACCAAATTAAGAACAATAAAATACAACTACAAGGAGAAATAAGTTAGAAAGTAAGCTACATGTCTTCACCTCCTTGTCCTGGTCGGGAAACCTCTTCTGAAGTCTTTTCACCATGACCTCCTGCTTCTCCCAGCTTGGTTCTCTCCCTTCATCATCTTCTTCACCAGACACCTTTGCAATAAAGTAAAACATGGGAGTCAGATACCCGAGGACCTATATTAAAGTCCTTAATGTAACCAAAAACGTGTAATGTTCTTACCACAGATGATTTCCTTTTTTTACTCTGGTGAACATCACCACTGTCCTGAGAACAGCTAGATTCGTCCTGCTTTCTCTTCCTGCCTTCACTTGGTGCTGGAAAGACAAACAGGGATGCTCTCAAAAAGCCTGGCCAGCCAGACTCACTAAGAGGGTGCTTTTCATTCTGCTAATGCTCAGACTCCCATGTGTAAAACAGGCCAAACCAATCCTAAAGCTAGGGGGGCTAGTTTATGCTTAGCCAGCATTACCTACAACGCAACAGTGCTTTTCTGCAACTAAAAAAGTCAGACAGATTGCAGTTGCAACTTTTATGTTTGATGATGCCCTTCATTATGTTTAGAATTAGTTGAAAACATATTTACAGTTTTAACAATAACATTGGCTGCTGTAAGAGCTTTTCCTTAAAAAAAAAAAAAAAAACATTATTTCATCACATCTGATTGGCTGTATCCTGTTTTCTCCTGACTGCTAGTCCAGCCTTTGGGATCAGACTCTACCAGCTCCTTTCCAGGCTGATATGCAGTGTACAGGTTGCAAGTTACAGCCTGGCAAGGTTAGCCTTCAACATAAGTTAAAGGACTGAAAAAAAAACAAGCTTCAATAAAGAAGGCTTTAGGGACAAGTTCTAATGGTGACTAGGGCTGCAACAACGAATCGATAAAATCGATAAAAATCGACTTTTAAAAGCGTTGGCAACGAATTTCATCATCGATTAGTTAAGTCGCGCAATTAATGCCGTCATCACTGCCACTTGACTGAAACGGGGGAAGAAGAAAAAAATTACGGCAGAGCGAGCCAGCGCTGCAGGTGCGCTGTGTTGCCAACTCAGCGACTTTGTCGCTATATTTAGTGACTTTTCAGACCCCTCCAGCGACTATTTTTTAAAAAAAGCGACTAGCGACAAATCTGGCGACTTTTTACGGTGTCACTGGCGGCTTTTGGAGACTCTTACGTGAAAGCATGTATCGTTCCTAGTCTTGTCCTTGTCATTTGATGAAATGGGAGGACCTATTGTTTGAGCCCCTTAGGGGCTTTTAAAAACAAAAATGTCTTTTTTTGCGCTTTATGAAACAAAGTACCCTATATTTTGTGGATGTACAGCCACATTTCTCATGTAAGTTTGCGTAGTTTTAACACAAACATTTATTTTTCATATTGCACCAGTACAGTTAATGAGCAACCTGTACTTGTGTGCTTGTTTGTTCTGTCTAAAATGTTTATTTTAGAATAAAGAGGTTAGTATAAAAAATATTTTTTGTCCGATTCATCGATTAATTGAAAAAATAATCGGCCGATTCATCGATTTTTAAAATAATCGTTAGTTGCAGCCCTAATGGTGACCTTTCTTTGTTTAGAATGTTTGTTTTACAGCTTTTAGTAACTTTTTATATTTGGGCAAATCAACATTTTTTTTTTTATTGTTTTTTAATAAAATGCCATTTAAAGAAAAGATGAAAATAATTATTTACCTGCTTTGTCACCAAATCTGACAAGGCAGACAGCTATAGCGCCTTCCAAGGTACTTGTACTTCCAGTGACCTGAAAACATAAAAACAGTGAGCTGTACAAAATCTAACGTGATTTTTTTTTCACAAGACCAACAGTAAGATTATCCAGATATTTTGTTTTTCAAAAATACAAAACAGCCACTTCCATCATTTAAGAAAGAATCTTTCCAATAACTACAATTTTAGCATATTTTTAGTTTCCACTATTATCCAGATGATACCCCTACTACTTTATCTATAATCCCTGATTAAACTTTGCATGTCTAATGGAAATAAAAACCTTAATGATTGTAAAATTTCTGCTTTTGAATTCAGACAAGAACGCAGCTCTTGTCTTTGGACCAGAGTCTTTGAAAAAAGAAGCAAATGTGTCTCTTCATCAGGATGGTATTAAATTGGCATCTGATAACATAAAACTCTGATCATAGTTTTGATCAGGACATTCGATTTAAATTCCATATTTTACAGGCTTCTAGAATATCCTTGCTATAATCTAATATTGCAAGATTTTGAAATATCCTGTCCAGGGCTGATGTTGAGAAACTAGTTCAAGGATGGACTATTGTAATTCTTTACTATCAGGAAGTCCACAATCTTGAGTTAAGAGGCTTCGGCTGATCCAAAATGTTGCAGCCAGAGTTATGATGAAAAGAGAGATCATACCTCTCATATTCTAACTTTTCTTCATTGGCTTCCTGTTAAACCAAGAATAGAATTTATATTCCTACTTCTCATATATAAAGCCTTAAATAACTAAGCTCCATCTTATATCGGAGATCCGTTTGTTCCTTATTTTCCTAACAGACCACTTTGCTCTCTATCTACTAGTGAGTTCTAGAATTTCTAAAAGTAGAATGGAATGCAGATATTTTACTTATCAGGCTCCTCTCCTGTGGAACTAACTACTAGTTCTATTCCCTGAGGAAGACACCATCTTTACTTTTAAGATTTGACTTAAAACCTTCCTTTTTGATAAAGCTTATAGTTAGAGTTGCTCAGGTTATCCTGTGCTGCCTTCATAGTTGTGCTGCTATAGGCTTGGACTGCTGCAGGACAAAGGGACAACTTCAAACTCCTAACATTACATAGTAGCTTCTTCTGGCCAGGTTCTTTTTGGCTGCGACATCATACTGCATCAATCTATCAGATAGGCTGCTGCCATTAACAAATTTCCTTTAAATTCCATGTAAAAAATGTGGGCTCCTTTTCAGTGCTTAGTCCTTAATACAAAGTAATGGGCTCATGTTTATATCCTAGATAAAGCCCCCTATGGAGCTAGTTTGCAGTTTACCTTTACTAACATGGAAAGAATTTAAGGATGGGTAATTCTATGTTCTTCTACAAGAGTACTACAAGAGCCTCGTTCTTCCTTCTAATTAAAGAGTTTTTCTTTCCACTGTCACTGCCTGCATGCTCATTGTGAGACTGTGCAGGGCAAAACATCACAATGCAAGCAAAAGTCCACTGTTGGTACATGCTCATCCAGGAGAGGCAGATCCTGCCAAGTCATTGAATCAAAGCAATAAGCTGGATTTCCTAGGAAAGAAAACACTTAACCAGTTGGTCTGTATGATTTGATTAAATTGTTTCTGTAAAGTATCTTGAAATTACATGCATTGTGAATTGGGGCCATATATAAATAAACTGAGTGTCATGGTTTTACAACCCCGAAATCTGGAAGAAAGTAACCTAAAATAAGTCAGTCTGTGGTTCCTCTTCGTCAGTTCTTTTTTTTTTTTTAAACATCCAACTCTTTGAACATTTTTCCCCTCATACAAATTCCACCCTAAGAAACTCTTGGTTACTTTATTTAATTCGGTCAATCAACTTCCACCAAGATGCTTGCTATAATTGCTTTTATTGCTTAACTGCTATTTAAACATATTTACTTTTCATATCTGCATTTACATGTTGCAGCTGGCATTTATTTCCACAAGGAGGCAATACTAAAACTGTTATAGCCATATCATTATGAGAATTTTATATAACTCTAATTACATGAAAACAACCAGGATAACTCAGTTATGTGTATAACAGTAGTATATCATTATTATGCACATAATTTTGTATAACAAGCTATCTTCAGGCCTGAACAAGGCTGCATAGAGTAGAAAAAGAGTATTTTAACCATCACGGTGAAAGAGGTAGACAATGAGAATAAAATATTGTCTTTTCCCTTACAAATCATGTAGCATGGTGTTTGAAACCCAAAATGTGTTAACTTACAGTAAAAATTAACCTAAAGCTACTAAAATGTTGAAATATGTTAAGAGGTAACAACAGCTGAATCCCATCTCACCTCCAGTGCATCAGTTCTAGACAACTGAGGAAACAATTCCAGTAGTTTGCTTATTTTCTCATCTATTTCCTCATCATCTGTGTCATTGGCTGGGTTCTGCAAAGGGCTCCTATGGTCGGGAGGGGGAAAAAAGTCAGACTAACTGTATCAGAGTACAATTGCGTTAATAGGTTAATGCACAAAGAAGCACATACCTATCTTTTGTGTTTGACTCAGCCACAAACTCATCCTCCTCCAAATCTACAGATATTTCTTCTTCAAAAACCACTCCTCGTGCGTGGGACTTTGTGGTGGATTTATGAGATTTGACTTGAGCTGAAACACATGAAAGGACAAATTATTGTAGCAGCTCGATTAATCTATGCCATGACTGACAGTAATGCTTTAATAAAGCATAATTTAATTTAATATGTCTGTGCTATAACTCACATGCATAGTTTTTTTCTTATTAAAGATGAACTCACGTGGCATGACAGCTTGTGATAACCATAATTCTATTTATAAACAGTTAACTGCATTAACACATTTTACACAAAAAACATGTGCCTTGGATGACAGCTCCTTTCTTGCTAAGTTTAGCATTTCTGAAAAACATGGCTAACCACGGTGCATGCTAGTTTACTGCAGTTACCTGGTTTGTTCTCCTTTTCAGAATCCGGACTTTTTGAGACGCAAACTGATTCTTTGTTGGCTGCTTTCTTCTCGAAACGAAAACGGTCCAAGTTGAAAAAACTCATTTCAGCTGTGATTATGTGTTTGTGTCAAAAAAAACGGTAGCCCTTTGTCTTTTTCCACTCAGTGCTATATAATCTCTGTTCCATCTAACGCATTATCAACTACGTCTCGTTAGCTAACGTGAGGGTCCAACAAGCTAGCCTAAAGTGTTAGCATAAGGGCCGTCGGGAAGAAATTCCAGCCAGGACGGCTTGTTACGAGCTTTGTCACTGTTGTACTTTTGGCTACAACAGCTCAAAATCAAACCATACGTCACGCGTTTCACAAAGAAATTATAAAATAAAGGCCATACGTTAATTATTTGTGAAATTATACCGCGAAAAGCCGGTTTCCCGCTTACACAAGCGGCTAAAGGTCCTGCTGATTGGTCAGTGAGACAAGTGGGCGGGGATTAACCTAATGAGTCAAGATAGTACTCCGAACAGTACTTCCGTGTATGTTCAGTTCTTTTTTTTACTTAATACTTGTCTCGTTTATCCGCCGTTTGCCAAATCTTCACCTCCTCCCCGACCCATTTTTGTCAACATTCTGTCAGTTAAAGAACAGAAGAGGAATTAAATCGATATACGAGTTACTTCACAGCGAAAATCCACAGAGGGGACACTATTAACGCAACCATCTCTTTGATGGTGTTCTGCAAAGCCGTGATATAATCTTGTTTACTCGGCAAACGTTTAAAATTATAGAATCACAATACCAAAATAATGTATACATATCAGTTAATCTAATCGTTAATTTAATTTATGAATTGGTTAGCAGTAGCATTTTTTGCAACAAGTCTTATTTGTGGAATTTGTCCACAGGGTGGCGCACAGACAACCAAGACAGCTGAGGTCTCTGAACCATTCCTTGGTCAAACATGTGGCGGCAGCAGATTATAAAGAATAGCAGAAATTGAAGCGTCATCTTTCCGTACCTGCTGAAATGGAGAAGCCCCTTTCAGAGAAATGTGGAATGCTTAACCGATAAAAGCTTTTAAAAATAATTATATCAATCATGCAGTATTGTTCATAGACATGGCTTTAACCGTGTTGCCTGCCTGCCACCTGTTACCTTAAAATAAAAAGAACTTGTTTTGTGTTTGAGATCATTTTAAACGTAGTACTTAAACCTTAAAATGTGTTTGTACATTGAGATCATTGATAAGCAGCAGAGGGCAGCTATGTGGTTGATGTGGCCATCCAAAATGATGGAAACAGGAGACCACGAGAAATCTATCTATCTATCTATCTATCTATCTATCTATCTATCTATCTATCTATCTATCTATCTATCTATCTATCTATCTATCTATCTATCTATCTATCTATCTATCTATCTATCTATCTATCTATCCATCCATCCATCCATCCATCCATCCATCCATCCATCCATCCATCCATCCATCCATCCATCCATCCATCCATCCATCCATCCATCCATCCATCCACCCAAACTCAACCCATAGGTAGAGGGTTGACTAAAGAGACCTACACAGTCTTACTTTGCATACTCCCATGTGCTCTCTTTATACAGAAACTCTGTCTTTCTAGTGGTGAAAAACCTAACCGATTATATGAGATAACAACAAATGCATCAGTGTTAGCTCAGAACCTTTGTGTAGAATATCTACTATAATTTTAATCAAACTATTGTGGCTTACAAAATTTGCCATTGTACAGCAGCAGTGTTAAAGCTATCTGTAAACTTTACATTCATACTTTAAAGTGCTTTTATTTCAGTTTTTCTCCTCCTAGGAGCGTTAACTTGCAAATCTCGTTGCTGTAAATTCTATGAAAACAAGTGCAAAATTCCCTTATGCAAAATTGATCACATCTACAGATTATTGTCAGTACAGTGGCTGAATTGTCATGATTCTGTTAGGCCTTTTCAACAAACATCTCAGCAGCCAATACAGCCACTGTTCTGCCGCCTTACTGTCGCCCAAACTATTGTCATGGAGACCTTGTAAGTTATAGCATAGGGTGTGTGAATATGTGTGTATGTATGTGTGTTTGAGCTCAGCGCTGGACACAATAGGCAGACTGACACAGAGTCTGATAGGGGTCATAACCCCTCGCAGTGGGAAGCTCAAACTGTGGCTCCTTGCTTCTCCTCTGTCTCCCAATCAAGTTCTCTGTGGGTGTATGTATTTGTGTATGTGTCTTACCTCTAATTATGATAGATGTTTTGCTGTTTTTTGTCATCCTGCTGGTCTTCTAACTTCGTTTTTGCATGTTTATCCTATATTATTCACCTCTGTGTCTAGACAGACACACATGCAACCAATCGCCAGTGCAGCAACATGATAGATAAATCAGCAGTCTTAAAGCTGTCACTACCACGGTCATTGCCATGCACAGATGCAGAAACATGGCTCAGATGTGCACAAACACATATACAAGTACAGTGACTATGTTCTGAATCTTTACGCTGAAATTCATTCTGAGAGGATAAAACTGTTAGGTTGTTACTTTAAATTTCTGCAGGTAGCGATATTGCCCTGTTGTAGAAAATGGACAGTTTAAACTGTATGTCTACATTGGACATTTTATTCACACAAAATGCAAAAAGCTATCAAATGCAAATCATCATTCATAAGTTATATTTCAATACAAAGCGTTAGGCTTGGTTTCAAATGAACCTCCAAGCATGTCCATATATGTATGAATTTGTAAATTTGACCCATCCATGGTGTCCTAGCGGTGTCGTCACAGTGTCTGTCACCACTCAGCCACTATGGCGCCCAACTTGGCCGAGACCCGACGGCGGCAGGGAGCACCTTGTCGCTATGGTAACATGTCTGGGATGCAACACCCCTTCAGTCCTAAAAAGGGAAAAAATCTCAATAAACGTGTATATCATAGGGCAAGAAACATTTTTTGTTAAAAATAATAACTGAGTCCAGAGTGACCAAAAACAAAGAAGGTCACTGTGACATCAAATCTTATTGACCTACCCAGGCTTGAAACTGGTTTTCCTTAGGAATCCTGTGTATTAAGCACTAGAAATTCAACATACAGCCCTGAACAGCCCACTAATCTCTGCTAGCAAAATAATACATTTATACTGATAATAATGATTGCATTTCTTCTCTAAATATTAATATATTTTCACATGTTAAGGCACTCTCAATTATTGTTTGGTACAATTCATAGGGGTTTCATTAAATGCTTTTAACTCAAGGAATTTTTTTAATTTTACTGGCTGCTTTACTATGATGTATACATTTTTGAGGTTTATCAATGACAGTTTTTCTGTTTTTTCAGACCCAAAAAGGTCCCAAGTACGGGCTGGGTTTAGGCAAGATAATGGTAAAGAAGAGACAGTATGCTAAAGATATATGACAAGGAGCAAACCAGTTTAGGGTATGGGTAAGGCAACAGGTCGTCTGACAGACACTGCAAGCACATGAGAAACACAAGTACTGAGAAGAGTTTTTAATGGAATGATGAAAAGTCATTGTATTAACTTAATGTGGAAAAGCTAAGGTGAAAATTGATCCGGGGCAAAGAGAGAGAAGAGCTACAAATTACACTGACATCATATAAATACTACAGATACCCAGAGGAAATGTTTTGTAATTGTCCTTTTACTCATACTTGTTTTCTGCTAGCACATTTATAAACAGGCCCCCATGTTTCCCAAAGTCCTAAACTTGAGGTAGGAACTCTTCTCTAACCAACCCGCCTTTGTCAGATTGAGAACTATGGCCTCGGATTTGGAGGAGCTGATTCTCTCCTTCACACTTCGCTGTGAACCGCCTGGGTACATGCTAGAGGCCGTGGCAGGGGGAAGCCAGCAAAACAACATCATCTGCAAGACAAAATCCACTGGTCCCCAAACCAAACCCCCCTCTGGCCCTAGGCTGTGCCTATAAATACTGTCCTTAAAGGTTATGAACTGGGCCAGTTACAGAGGGAAGCCCTGTCGGAATCAAACATGCAGCTTGAACAGGCTGGATCTAATGCCAGCAAGGAGGAACAAAGTCTTTCTCTACTTGAGCAGAGACTGAATGGCCTCTAGTAAAGTGTCCTTGACTAAGTAGTCCTGGAGTGGCCCCCACAAGGCACCACAAAGGACATGATCAAAGGCCTTCTCCGGGTCCACAAAACATACAAGGACTGGTTGGGCAAAATCCCTGGCACCCTCAAGCCCCAAGTAGAGCTGGAAGAACTCCTCCTAAAACCAAGGTTCGACCATCAGCCCACTTCTCCTCTCAGCACCCTGGCATAGACCTTTTGGGGGAGGCTGAGAAGTTCGAACCTCGTATAGTTGGAGCACACCCTCTTGTCCACCTTCTTATGCAGGAGAACCAACACCACACTCTGCCAGTCCAGGGGCAATTTTCCTGTCCTCGACAGGATGTTGAAGAGGCGTGTAAGACTTTGGGGACCTCAGCTTGAGTGATGAACAAATCTGACCCAAAGCACTCCATCTGTTCTTTCATCATTGAGGGCATGTCAGATGAACTGAGGAGATTTCAATTCAATTCAGTTTATTCATATAATGCCAGTTCACAACACGTCATTTCAAGGCACTTTACAGAGACAACTCAACCAGATCATTCAGTCAAATTGATTCAAAGTCCTCACGCAAATCCCTCACACCAAGCATGACTATAGCGAGAGTGGAGAGGAAAAACTCCCTTTTAACAGGAATAATCCTCCAGCAGAACCATGCTCAGTGTGAGCGGCCATCTGCTGAAGCCGGCTGGGGTTCAGGGAGACAGATGCAGACATATAGAAAGAAGCAGAGATACAAAAGCTAAATGTCAACCAGCTCCACATGTGGCTCTGTCCAGGAAAGACACAGCCAGGCAGACAAACTCCGAGCCAGCTCCCATGTCAGAGGAGGGAAGAGAGCACATACAGTTAGTCACAGTCAGAGAAACAGGTCTGCACTGAAAAACAGGCCAAGCTCCAACATCTATAAACAAACGTGCTGATGGCAGCAAAACAGCTGATATTTCTCTCCAGGATGATGTCACAGCCAAACAGGAATAGACCAGATGAAGCTACTATGAGAAAACCAGAGACAACATAATGTTAGTGATTGAACTAACAAATTCTGCAGAATAGGAGAAAAGAGATAGAATGAAGCAGATTGTTGAAAAGGGGTCCCTATGTCCTCCAGCTGTCTAAACCTATAGCAGCATAACTCAAGAGATAGATCTGGATAACCCTAGCCACTCTAACTATAAGCTTTATCCAAAAGAAAAGTTTTAAGCCTACACTTAAAAGTAGACAGACACTATAACTTCTGTTTTGTCTGCACTCAACAGCAGAAAGTTAAGAGTCATCCAGATTTTTATGTCTTAAAGACATGCTTGTAGTCTATGTAATGGGTTAGCTTCATCTGGATTTACAGACAAATATAGC